ATACATTTGAATCACAACTTATATTCAAGAATTTTACACCCAAATAATTTTTGCAAATGAAGCCTTATACAAATTTGTTTAGTTAGATCGAAAAATCCGCTAACTTAGGCGACCAGAAAAGATCAATCTCTTCTATTCATTTCACAATATAAAGAAGGATAATTTTAATTCTATATGCTTAATTTATTAAGCTTTGAAATATAGAAAGATTAAAGCATTTATATTGAGAAATTAAAAAATTTATCTTGAAGACTATAATTGTCCTATTTAGTTTAATAATCTTGAAAATATTTTATGGAATAATACATTTTTTTAGAGATGTCGGGTGAAGCGCTAGACACAAAGGTAGATCAATAAATTTAGGTTTTAATTCCTATTTGATATTTGATGGAATAATTTAAATTCTACTGTTAAGAAACTTATAATGCTTGTAAACATAAGCTTATTTTTTTGATTGGAACATAATTTGAGATTTGAGGTTTCAAATCGTAACTGATATGAATGAATTTTTGACAAAATACTTGTAAAATCATATCATTAATGGATAATTTATAACAAACTTTGATTATGGGCAGGATTATTTATCTAAATAAAAATATTTATTCAAACTCTGTTTTAGACGAAATTCCAGATATATAAACTTCTATTTCAAGGCTGTAAAAATAATTTCCTCGCTCTTATTTTCTTTCATTTTTTAACAAAATTCTTACTAACAATGATGAAAAATAGTTATAATAATATACACTTCTACAACAATATACTGGATTTAACTTATTCCAAAAATAAACATCAAGAAGGATTCGTAGAAATTACTTTAATGCTTTAATGTATATAAACATAAATAAATTATATAATTTTTTGTAAAATTTCAACAACAATTACTAAGTTAGTCCTGTAGGAGCTTTATGGATTCATAAATGGAATTTTAGAATTGTTATTTTAAATTTAACTCTGAATTTTCTATGAAAGTAAGTGTTTAGCTATACCTTTATCAAAATAATCCTCTGAAATTTTTTAGTTTAGCCAAATCATTGATAGAAAATTTTGTATTTCTTCTTCCTATCTAATCATTCCATCTAAAGTTTGAGCTTGAAAATTATAATTAGGAATTACTACTTTTTCTTTAGTGAGATTCTATATATTCTGGGCTGTCATCGATAACTTAATAAAAATTATCCAATGCCTCCTTAAATCTATTCATTTTTTGTAAAGTCAGTGCTATGAAAAATTTAAACCCAACTCATACCTTTGCAAATGTAATAATCAGAATTTTTAGGGTTTTTCGATAAAGCTAATTCAAAATATTCTAATGCTTCATCAAGTTTATTCATTTTGGATAAAGTAATTCCTAATATAAATATGCAAATTTAATATACCTTTGCTAAAGTAATAGTTTGATTTTTCAGAATTTTTTGATAAAGCTATATCAAAATATTTCAAAGCTTCCTAAAATTGTTTTAACTGAGATAAAATGATGGCTAATAAAAATATGAAGATTTCCTATACCTTTGTTATAGAAATAGTCTGAATTTTCAGGGTTCTTTGATATTGCTGCATCATATTATTCCAATGCTTCCAAAAATCTATATACTTTTGTTAAAGTATTAGCTATGTGGATATCAAATTTTATGAACCTTTGTAACAATAATAATCAGAATTTTCAGGACTTTTAGAAATAGCTAAATCAAAATTTTCTAATGCTTCATTAAATTTATTAATTTTAACTAAAGTAACAGCTAAGTTAAATATGCAGATATCTGGTACCTTTGTTATTATAATATACTGAAGTTTCAGGGTTTCTTAAAATAGCTAAATCGTATAATTCCAATGCTTCTGCGAATCTATATACTTTTGTTAAAATATCAGCTAAACGAAACACAAATTTAATAATACCTTTGTGAAAATAATAGTTTGAATTTTCAGGATATTTAGAAATAGATAATTCAAAATTTTCTAATGCTTCATCAAATTTATTCATTTTAGCTAAAGTAAGTGCTAAGTTCAAAATGCAGATTTCGATACCTTTGTTATTATAATAGTCTGAATTTTCAGGGTTTTTCGATATTGCTGAATCAAATTATTCCAATGCTTCCTGAAATCTATTCATTTAATCTAATGCTAACCCTAAGATAATATACAATATTAAATACACCTTTGTTATTATAAAAAGCCGGATTTTCAGTGTTTTTCTAAATTGCTAAGTCATAATATTCCAATGCTTCCTGATGTCTATTCATTTTTTTTAAAGTAATCCCTAATAATTACATAAGCTTATTCAACCTTTATTATTATAAAAGTTTGAATTTTCAGGATTTTTTTAGATAGCTTGGTCATAATACTACAATGCTTCTTCAAATCTAAAAATTTTATCTAAAGCATTAGCTAATATATATCCAGAGTTAATTGTACCTTTGTCAAAGTAATTATATGAATCTTCAGGGTTTTTCTAAATTGCTAATTCATAATTTTCTATTGCTCCTTATAATCGATTCATTTTATCTAATGCATTANAAAGTTTGAGCTTGAAAATTATAATTAGGAATTACTACTTTTTCTTTAGTGAGATTCTATATATTCTGGGCTGTCATCGATAACTTAATAAAAATTATCCAATGCCTCCTTAAATCTATTCATTTTTTGTAAAGTCAGTGCTATGAAAAATTTAAACCCAACTCATACCTTTGCAAATGTAATAATCAGAATTTTTAGGGTTTTTCGATAAAGCTAATTCAAAATATTCTAATGCTTCATCAAGTTTATTCATTTTGGATAAAGTAATTCCTAATATAAATATGCAAATTTAATATACCTTTGCTAAAGTAATAGTTTGATTTTTCAGAATTTTTTGATAAAGCTATATCAAAATATTTCAAAGCTTCCTAAAATTGTTTTAACTGAGATAAAATGATGGCTAATAAAAATATGAAGATTTCCTATACCTTTGTTATAGAAATAGTCTGAATTTTCAGGGTTCTTTGATATTGCTGCATCATATTATTCCAATGCTTCCAAAAATCTATATACTTTTGTTAAAGTATTAGCTATGTGGATATCAAATTTTATGAACCTTTGTAACAATAATAATCAGAATTTTCAGGACTTTTAGAAATAGCTAAATCAAAATTTTCTAATGCTTCATTAAATTTATTAATTTTAACTAAAGTAACAGCTAAGTTAAATATGCAGATATCTGGTACCTTTGTTATTATAATATACTGAAGTTTCAGGGTTTCTTAAAATAGCTAAATCGTATAATTCCAATGCTTCTGCGAATCTATATACTTTTGTTAAAATATCAGCTAAACGAAACACAAATTTAATAATACCTTTGTGAAAATAATAGTTTGAATTTTCAGGATATTTAGAAATAGATAATTCAAAATTTTCTAATGCTTCATCAAATTTATTCATTTTAGCTAAAGTAAGTGCTAAGTTCAAAATGCAGATTTCGATACCTTTGTTATTATAATAGTCTGAATTTTCAGGGTTTTTCGATATTGCTGAATCAAATTATTCCAATGCTTCCTGAAATCTATTCATTTAATCTAATGCTAACCCTAAGATAATATACAATATTAAATACACCTTTGTTATTATAAAAAGCCGGATTTTCAGTGTTTTTCTAAATTGCTAAGTCATAATATTCCAATGCTTCCTGATGTCTATTCATTTTTTTTAAAGTAATCCCTAATAATTACATAAGCTTATTCAACCTTTATTATTATAAAAGTTTGAATTTTCAGGATTTTTTTAGATAGCTTGGTCATAATACTACAATGCTTCTTCAAATCTAAAAATTTTATCTAAAGCATTAGCTAATATATATCCAGAGTTAATTGTACCTTTGTCAAAGTAATTATATGAATCTTCAGGGTTTTTCTAAATTGCTAATTCATAATTTTCTATTGCTCCTTATAATCGATTCATTTTATCTAATGCATTAGCTCAGAAGATAGGTGAATTCTAATATACCTTTGTTACTATAGTAGGTCGAATTTTCAGGGTTCTTCTAAATTGCTAGATCATACCACACCAATGCTTCTACCAATCTATTCATTTTGTCTAATGTATTAGCTAATAATTTAACATAATTTAAATACCTTTGTTATAGTAATAATCTGAATATTCAGGATCTTTTTAAATAGCTATATTATAATATTCGAGTGCTTCTTCCAATCTATTCATTTTTTCTAATGTCAAAGCTAAGCGTTATCAAGAATTAATCACCTTTGTTATTGTAGTAGTAGGAAATTTAAGGGTTTTTCTAAATAGCTGAATCATACCATTCCAAAGCTTCTTTAAATCTATACATTTTCTCTAATGTCATAGCTAAAATAATAAGCAGAATTAATTATACCTTTATTATGAAAATAGGCTGAATTTTCAGGATTCTTCTTTATCGCTAAATCGTATTAATTCAATGATTCTTCAAATCTCTTCATTTTATCTAAAGATAAAGCTAAGATTTGAACAAATAAATTAAACCTTTATTATTATAATATGCTGAATTTTCTCTGTTTATTTATATTGCTGAGTCATAATATTCCAAAGCTTCTTCTAATCTATTCATTTTGTGTAATGTTAATGCTAAGAAAATATAGCAACTTAGTATACCTTTATTATTATAATAGTCTGCATTTTCAGGGTTTAATTTTATAGCTTAATCATAATACAATAATGCTTCTTCAAGCCTATTCATTTTTCTTAAAGTATTAGCTATGTAAATTTGCTATTTTATGTTTACCTTTTTCATTTTAATAGTCAGAATTTTCAGGATTCCATTTGATAGAAGCATCATTGCACTATAATGCTTCTTTTAATCTATTCATTTAAACTAAAATAAATGCTAATAAAAAGTACAGATTTAGTTTTACCTTTGCCATCGTAATTATCTGAATCTTCAGGATTTATTTTAATTGATTAATTATAACATTCCAATGCTTCCTCAAATCTATTCATTTTAACTAATGTATTAGCTAAAAAAATATGTAGGGTAGATTGTACCTTTGTTATTGTAATAATCCGAATCTTCAGGGTTTATCTAAATAGCTTAATCAAAATATTTCAAGGCATCTTCTTCTCTATTAATTTTATCTAGAATATTAGCTAAGAAAATATGTAGGGTTGAATGTACCTTTACTATTGTAATAATCCGAATCTTCAGGGTTTAACTAAATAGCTAAATCAAAATATTCTAATGCTTCTTAAAATCTACCCATTATTTCTAAAGTCACAGCTTAGAGTATCAGCAAAACGAATTATACCTTTATTATTATAATAATCTGAATTTTCAGGTTCCATATCGATTGCTTAATCATAATAATTTAATGCCTCTTCAAACCTATTCATTCTCCTTAGATTATTTGCTATTTAAATATCCAGCATTAAATTTACCTTTCAAATTTAAAATGTCTGAATTTTCAGGGTCCATCTAAATTGCTTAATTATAACATTCTAATGCATCTTCAAATCTATTTAATTTAACTAATGTATTAGCTGAGGAAAATATGTTGATTTTATTATACCTTTGTCAAGTTAATATTGGGATTTTTCAGGATTTTTAGAAATAGCTTAGTTATAAAATTCTAATGCTTATGTAAATCTATTCAAATTGTCTAAAGTTGTTGCTAAAATAATAGGCAGAAATAATTATACCTTTATAATGATAACAGTCTGACTTTTCAGGGTTCAACTGAAGAGCCGAATCACAATATTGCAAGGCCTCTTCAAATCTTATCATTGCATTTAATGTAACAGCTAAGAAAATGATAATAGTTTTTAATACCTATGCCCATATAATAAGACCATATTTTAGGGTTGTACTAAATAGCTGTACCATAATTGTGTAATGCTTCTTCATATCTTTCCAGCCCATATAAAGCAACAGCTAAGAAATATACAGCAATAAATATACCTTTTGTATAATAATAATTTGCATTTTCAGGGTTTTTCTAAATAGCTAAATTATAAAATTGTAATGCTTCTTCAAGCCTTTCCATTTTTAATAAAGTATTAGCTATGTAAATATTTACAGCCAACCTTTTTCATTTAAATAATTTGAACATTCAGGATTTTTCAAAATCGCTAAATCATAAAATTGTAATGCTTCTATATATCTTGTCATTTTATTTAAGGTCAAAGCTAAGTTTTTAACCTGATTTTAATTACCTTTGTTATAATAATAGTCTGAATTTTCAGGGTCTTTCTTGATAGCTAGATGATAATATTCTAAAGCTTCTTTTAATTTATTCATTTATCTTAAAGTATTAGCTATGTAAATATTTTCAGGCACATTACCTTTTTCATTGAAATAATTTGAACAATCAGGATTTTTCTGAATAGCTAAATCATAAATTTATAACGCTTCTTCATATCTTTTCATTTTATTTAAAGTCAAAGCTAAGTTATTATGAAAAAATGTATTAAACCTTTCTTAAAGTAGTAGTCTAAAATTTCAGGTCTTTTTTTTATAGCTTAACTATATTATTCTATTGCCTCTTAGAATTTATTCAAATTTGTTAAAGTATTGGCTTAAATATTATAAAGATCTAATTTTACCTTTGTTATAATAATACTCTGAGTTTTCAGGGTCTTTCTAGATGGCTAAATCATAATATTGCAAAGCTTCTTAATATTTTGCCATTTTATTTAAGGTTAAAGCTAAGTTGTTATGCAAAATTGATTATACCTTTCTAATAATAATAGTCTAAATATTTAGGGCTTTTTTATATACTAGGATTGTAATTTAATAATGCCTTTTTAAACCTATTTATTTTATGTACAGAATCACTCAATTAAGTAATAACTCTGAAAAAATTTCTTTATTAAATTCCTTTTTTGATAATCAAATTTAGATTTTATAAGTTCCCCTCTATTATTAAAGGATTTTTTCTATCATCATTTTTCTAAGTAATCCCTTATTCTTTTTTGTACTCTCTTATTTAACTTGTATAAATTATTTTATATACAACTTAGTGAAATCTTAGCTTTTTATTGAAGTCTGATTTTATATTGTGCCTAACTTTGATTATATCATGTTCTCCTTTACTGGGTAAATTGATCTTGAAATTTAGTTGAATTTGATGAGCTAAAAAAATATATCCGTGGTATCTTAATATTATTTATACTCATATACCTATCTAGTTAATTAAGATATCGTCTTGAGATTACATTAATTTTTTAATAAAAATTATATTATAATAATAATATAAGAACTCTTTCTTGAAAAGACTATATTGAAAGTAACTAATCTATACAATACCTTTCTGTTTGAATATTAAAGATATATTGATCAAGTAATTGTTACTCAAGGATAAGTTTTGAATGTAAAGTATAAATAAATTAAGCCAGTATCAAAAGCTAAGATTGTAGATTGGAGATGTTTCACTCTTAATCTAAGCCATATTTGTTAATTTAATAGATACTAAATCAAAAATTCATTATATTTTTTAAAGTGATTACTTATTTATACTGCCATTTAATTTACAGAAGATATGCTTAATTAACTTTAAGTATATAAAAGACAGAAAGGGTTATTACAAAAATTTAGACCCCAGATTGTATTATCCTTGTTTTCTATATTCCATGCTTCTCAGCTTAATACTAAATATCCTAATATGAATGATAAGATTAATGAAAATACTTTGGAATCAGGTAAATCAAAAGATCTACTAGGAGCATGTTTAACAAAACAATTCTGTCGGAAATTAAATATATTGATCCAATTATTTTAGATATTAGCAATATCATTTCAATTTAAAAATAGAAAGTAGTTAGTAAATCAGAAATTTAAGGAATAAATTTTAATTGCAGATAAATAAGCCATTCTAACGCCATTATAAAGTATATCTATTTTGATGATCATCTTTAAACTCTTCCTAAATACAAATAATTGCTTTTTGAAGTAAAATGTATTTGAAAAATGATTAATGAAATATATATCTGATTTTTTTCAATTTTGAGATTATTGAATATATTGCATAATATTTCTGTATTTAAGACGGTGTAGAAAATGCAATAACTCGCATGTTAAAAATATTTAGACATAGAGTATGTTAATATTATAATTTCCTCATAATTACAACAATAGGAGTTATATCAATTTTAAGATCATTTCTAATCAACTGATAATAAACTTATTATTCTTAAGGTTCATTTAATCTCATTCTCCTAATATATATATTATTCACTAAATAGGTCTAACATTTGAAAGATATAATAAATTGAAATCATTTCATTAGATTTAAATTGTGATTTTCATGTAACTCTAATATTTATCAAATTTAATATAGTACAAACTAAGTGTAGAATTTCCGTGTTTTAATTACATATCTGTGATTTAGCAATACTGTTTATTTAGTTAAATATTGAAATAATTTTTTTTTGTAGTGATACATAATTAACTAAAAATGAAGCTCTGTAATAAGCATTCTTTTTGTAAATAATTCATCTAATTTATTGATTTAACTGCAATAAATGAGAAAAATTATAATCACATTAATTAACTATTTTTTGATAACTTACTAAATTAAGGACAAGCTGAATGAGTTATTAAATCGATGATATCTCTAAATTAAATACTATGAATTCTATAAAATATTAAAGAATTTATAAATTTTATTAACTTATTTATATATTTTAACTAAATATTTTAATCAAATTTAAAGCAATTTATTTTATGAATAATAAAATTTGTTTAAGTGCTAAGATATTGAGCATAAAGGAGAAGAGATATAAGGGTTTTGTTTAAATTTGACATGCTAACATTGCAGATCTTAATTCTTTTTATAATTTGAAGTGGATCCTAATAAACATTCTAATTGTAAGAAGGACTTAAAAAGATTTGCTTAGATTTATATTTTATTACTAAATTCAATTAGACTCTACTTGATTTAACAACCTGAAAAATCTATCTTTTGAAAAAAATAAATAGAATTATTAAGAATTTAAAAAAAACAATTAGAGGAATAAATAAATAATTAGCTAAGATATCTCAGTGTTTAAGTTCATAGGATTATTAATAATTCAAAGACAATATATTATTGATAAAGGAATTGTACCAATATTCTAAAAATAACAATATGAAGTCTAATTAAATTGGTATTCTAAAATAATGATATTTTATAGGAAGTCAATTATAATTGTAATAATAATTAAAGGTTATTTAACTAGACAATTAAAACACTTTCTAGTCAGGTATTTAGTTTATTGTTTTTAATTAGAATTATAATTATTAAATTAGTAAAAATGGCAAGAGGCTAATGAACAGCTAAATGAAAAGATTAAACATTTTGCAACATTCTTTTAAAGTATTTCTAAAATTTGGAATTAATTTAGATATTTCTTCATCATTATATTTTTGAGTTTTATTATAATTTGATGATTAGCTCAGAAAAGGAACAACAATCAGAGAATAGGATAAAAATATTAATGGCAGTTTATATAAAGACCTATTGGAATATTCAGATTTAGAACTTAATAAAAATTAATAAAATACAATTATGTCGATTGCAAAATGTTAAGTCACAATAATTTCCCCAATTCAGCATAAAGAACAAATTTGAAAAAACCCCCAACCTACATCAATTAGCTTTTAACAGGTTCCAAATCAATATTCCTCTCCTCAGATATTGTTTGAACATCCATCTTTTCTTCCCAATGTCTTCATCATTGTTCAAGTGTTTCTCTGTATTTACTCTGTTTCAATTAGGGATCCTACTACTTTTATTCGAGTCTATTGTGAGTTTTCTTCTTCCTCTTGCATTACTGATATAAGTTGACCAATCCGATGTTACTACCTGAATAATAGATTTTCCTTCTCTTTTTAAAAGGGCTACTAGGTTATCTAATTGTGTTTTGTGCACATGATGAAGGATATCCANATAAAGGAGAAGAGATATAAGGGTTTTGTTTAAATTTGACATGCTAACATTGCAGATCTTAATTCTTTTTATAATTTGAAGTGGATCCTAATAAACATTCTAATTGTAAGAAGGACTTAAAAAGATTTGCTTAGATTTATATTTTATTACTAAATTCAATTAGACTCTACTTGATTTAACAACCTGAAAAATCTATCTTTTGAAAAAAATAAATAGAATTATTAAGAATTTAAAAAAAACAATTAGAGGAATAAATAAATAATTAGCTAAGATATCTCAGTGTTTAAGTTCATAGGATTATTAATAATTCAAAGACAATATATTATTGATAAAGGAATTGTACCAATATTCTAAAAATAACAATATGAAGTCTAATTAAATTGGTATTCTAAAATAATGATATTTTATAGGAAGTCAATTATAATTGTAATAATAATTAAAGGTTATTTAACTAGACAATTAAAACACTTTCTAGTCAGGTATTTAGTTTATTGTTTTTAATTAGAATTATAATTATTAAATTAGTAAAAATGGCAAGAGGCTAATGAACAGCTAAATGAAAAGATTAAACATTTTGCAACATTCTTTTAAAGTATTTCTAAAATTTGGAATTAATTTAGATATTTCTTCATCATTATATTTTTGAGTTTTATTATAATTTGATGATTAGCTCAGAAAAGGAACAACAATCAGAGAATAGGATAAAAATATTAATGGCAGTTTATATAAAGACCTATTGGAATATTCAGATTTAGAACTTAATAAAAATTAATAAAATACAATTATGTCGATTGCAAAATGTTAAGTCACAATAATTTCCCCAATTCAGCATAAAGAACAAATTTGAAAAAACCCCCAACCTACATCAATTAGCTTTTAACAGGTTCCAAATCAATATTCCTCTCCTCAGATATTGTTTGAACATCCATCTTTTCTTCCCAATGTCTTCATCATTGTTCAAGTGTTTCTCTGTATTTACTCTGTTTCAATTAGGGATCCTACTACTTTTATTCGAGTCTATTGTGAGTTTTCTTCTTCCTCTTGCATTACTGATATAAGTTGACCAATCCGATGTTACTACCTGAATAATAGATTTTCCTTCTCTTTTTAAAAGGGCTACTAGGTTATCTAATTGTGTTTTGTGCACATGATGAAGGATATCCATATTATCCATAATAAAGTGAAAGGTCTTCTTGGAATCTATCATCCCCATAACCAATGGTTCTTTGTCCGTGAAAGAGTTTCATTTTTGTATTACTATGAATTGGTCCTTGAGAATTTAATTATACTCACACAAGTAGTAAAGATTTACGATTATCTACATTAATTTTTTTATTCTTAATTGAGGGAAACTTATAGTTTGCTAAATCATTTGACTCGAAATAATTGGTTATCATCTCTTTAGTCTATTTTTATCATTTAAGACTTTTTAATGTTCTAAGAGAATTTGTAAGAAAATATTATGCTAAATATGAATAACTATAATTTAGCATTTTGACAGTTTGATCAAAACCTAAATTCGATCAAATTTCCCAAAAGTTGGGATAGCTAATTAGCATTTTACTTATAGGTAACTTCTTGATAAGTAAATTGAGAAAACCTAAGCAACTTATTAATGTTGTTGAACTTCAAAATGATATCATTGTTAGTTAGTCCTAAACTGTAACTTAATTTTGATAATTTATGAAGTGTTTTCAAACTTAATAAATCAATTTTACATTAAATTGGAGTATAAACTTTATTTCTATCATAACTTTAACGAAAGTTAATTCAAATTTTGAATCTCTATTTGAGGCAGTTGATGTATTTAAACTTATATGATTGAAGATTTTACTTGAAAAATATATATATAATTATCATTCTTTATCTAAGATATATCCCAAATTAAGCAGAACGCTGTTTTCCTGAAAACACCTTTGCACTTGGTTATTCTTAAGCCTTATAATCTATTAGATGTGCAGCCTAATTTTTGGTCTATAAATCAGTTTGAAATTTATATATGCATAGATATATCACCTATAATAAGGAAATTAGTTTTCATCTGTTAGTAGATACCTAAAGTTTGTGAAAAAGGAAGCCTATTATTATGATCATATTGAAAGCATTTAATGATGCAAATAAGTGAAGGACCTTGAATGGACTATAGAAATAACCAGAAAAACAAACTAGAATTCAAGTATTTGAGCTCTGTCTACTGAAAGGTGTGAGATTACAAGTTTAAAATTGAAAAATTATATAAGTTTATTATATTCAGAATGATACAAAGTGCTACATAAAGTAATATAGTTTATGAATAAGGGTTTATCGATGATATTATGAAAGATCAATTATTAAAAGACTCGCTTATTAATACAATTAAGATTTAAATTAACGAAAAGAAACATTGTTTTTGTATCTTGAACACTAGTAAAAATAATTACGAGGCATGTAATAGACAGTTTTGGACCAATTAATTTTGCATCATAATATTGCTATTAAATTTAATTTGTATCTAGTTTATAAATTAATTATAGTATACTTAGAGAATGGAAAATAATGGAATTAATTCACGAAGATGTTTTAAAATTATTTATGAAATTAAGAAAAATAAAATTACAAATAATAAAAGATTATGTAAGTGGAAAATGCTGAATTGATGAAAAAGTGGGAAATGCAGATATTTTAGTTTATCGATTTTTTTGAGTTTTGAGGCAGTAATTTATCAGATATTTAGTTATCGGTTATTATATAAATTGAAGAAGGCTTGAAAAATAATTTTTAATTGTTAAAATAGGGATTATTAACTAAAATGTATAAACTTAAAATTTTGAATTAATAAATGTAAATGATTCTTTAAATCTATACTATAAAAATAAATTAAATTATTAATAACATTTCCACCAAAAAAATAACAGATTCAATAAGATGGCTTTTTAAATACTATCTTTATAAAATCAAAAAGGTTATTCAGATTATGTGAATTAAGATTTAATTAAAAAATATAGTCTTATAATTAAAATATAATTATTAATATTGTTCATAAATTAAAGTCATTTGTTGGTATCAAACTTTCATAAAATTTTCTAAATTCAAGCAGCCTTTAGATTTAAATAATTATGTTAAATCTATTTGCATATTATTAAAAAATTCTCCCTTCAAGATTATGGTTCCTTAAGCTTAGAAAATTGGATATTAGGAGATTTGTAAAATTGTAATATTAGAAGTAGCGTTTGATAAAATTTCAGGTTAAAATTACACCAGAGTATCTTTGTTTTGATTATCTGAAGGTAAAATTTGCTTTCCTGTATTAACATCCCAAATACAAATAGTCTAATAAAAACTACCAGATGCTAATGTAGAGCCATCAGGAGAGAAACAGATTGAATTAACAGAACTTATATGACCATCTAATTTGGCTTTTTATTATTTTGTCTTAACATCCCATAAGCGAATAGACTTATCTAAGCTACTAGATGCTAAATTAGTCCCATCAAGAGAGAAACAGACTGACTTAACTTAAAGTGAATGACCCTCTAATATAAATGTTTATTATCCTGACTAAATATCCCATAAACGTATGGAGGAATCAACACTACCAGATGCTAATGTAGTACCATCAGGAGAGAAACAGATTGAATGCACAGAACCTAAATGACCATGGTATTTGGCTTTTTATTATGCTGTCTCAACATCCCATAAAATTATTGATTGATCATCAGAACCCGATGCTACTGTAATACCATCAGGAGAAAAACAGACTGTATAAACAGTTCCTGAATGACCATCTAATCTGGCTTTTTATTTTTGTGTCATAACATCCCATAACTGGATAGAGTTATCAAAACCACCAGATGCTAATGTAGTACCATCAGGAGAGAAACAGATTGAATGCACAGAACCTAAATGACCATTAAATTTAGCTTTTTATTATGCTGTCTCAACATCCCATAAAATTATTGATTGATCATCAGAACCCGATGCTACTATAATACCATCAGGAGAAAAACAGACTGTATAAACAGTTCCTGAATGACCATTTAATCTGGCTTTTTATTTTTGTGTCATAACATCCCATAACTGGATAGAGTTATCAAAACCACCAGATGCTAATTTAGTACCATCAGGAGAGAAACAGATTGAATTTACAGAATCAGAATGAACATTAGTTGTCTAATTTGCCTTAACAACCCAAACGCGGATAGAGTTATCATAACTCCCAGATGCTAATTTAGTACCATCAGGAGAGAAACAAACAGTATAAACTGTGCTAGAATGTCCATCTAATTTGGCTTTTTATTATCCTGTCTTAACATCCCATAAAAGGATAAAGTTATCATAACTACCAGATGCTAAGGTAGTACCATCAGGAGAGAAACATACTGAGATAACATAATTTGAATGACCATCTATACTAGCCTGTTATTGTTATGTCTTAACATCCCATAAACGGATAGACTTATCATAACTCCCAGAAGCCAATTTATTACCATCAGGAGAGAAACAGACTGTTTTAACTGTTTTAGAATGACCAACTAATTTGGCTTTTTATTTTCCTTAGTTAACATCCCATAAACGAATAGACTTATCATCACTACCAGATGCTAATGTAGTACCATCAGGAGAGAAACAGATTGAATTTACAATTCCTTAATGACCAACTAATTTGGCTTTTTATTATGCTGTCTTAACATCCCATAAAAGAATAGACTTATCATCACTACCAGATGCTAATGTAGTACCATCAGGAGAGAAACAGATTGAATTTACAATTCCTTAATGACCAACTAATTTGGCTTTTTATTATGCTGTCTTAACATCCCATAAAAGAATAGACTTATCATCACTACCAGATGCTAATGTAGTACCATCAGGAGAGAAACAGATTGAATTTACAATTCCTTAATGACCAACTAATTTGGCTTTTTATTATGCTGTCTTAACATCCCATAAAAGAATAGACTTATCATCACTACCAGATGCTAATGTAGTACCATCAGGAGAGAAACAGATTGAATTTACAATTCCTTAATGACCAACTAATTTGGCTTTTTATTATGCTGTCTTAACATCCCATAAAAGAATAGACTTATCATCACTACCAGATGCTAATGTAGTACCATCAGGAGAGAAACAGATTGAATTTACAATTCCTTAATGACCAACTAATTTGGCTTTTTATTATGCTGTCTTAACATCCCATAAAAGAATAGACTTATCATCACTACCAGATGCTAATGTAGTACCATCAGGAGAGAAACAGATTGAATTTACAATTCCTTAATGACCAACTAATTTTGCTTTTTATTATGCTGTCTTAACATCCCATAAACGAATAGACTTATCAACACTACCAGATGCTAATGTACCATCAAGAGAGAAACACACTGACATAACATAGTTTGAATGACCATCTAATTTGGCTTATTATTATCCTGTCTTAGTATCCCATACGCAGATAAACTTATCATAGCCACTAGATGCTAATGTAGTACCATTAGGAGAAAAACAGACTGATAAGATATAATTTGAATGTCCATTTAATTGGGCTTATTATTATCCTATATTAGCATCCCATAAACCAATAGTCTAATCATAACTACCAGATGCTAATGTAATTCCATCAGGAGAGAACGATATTGAATTAACTGAACCAGAATGACCATTTAGTATTTTGGCTATTTATTATGCTTTCTTAGCATCCCAGAAACGGATAGACTTGTCGTCACTACTAGATGCTAATGTAGTACCATCAGGAGAGAAACACAACGACATAACATAATTTTTATGACCCTCTAAACTTGCTTTTTATTTTCCTGTCTTAACATCCCATAAAAGGATAGACTTATCATATCCCCCGGATGCTAATGTAGTACTATCAGGAGAGAAACAGACTGTATAAACTGTTTTAAAATGACCATCTAATTTGGCTTTTTATTTTCCTGTTTTAACATCCCATAAACGGACGGACTTATCTAAACTACCAGATGCTAATGTAGTACTATCAGGAGAAAAACAGATTTAATTAACAGAACCAGAATGACCTCTTAGTTTCGCAATTTATTTTCCAGTCTTTACATCCCATAAGCATAGAGAGTAATCATCACTACCAGATGCTAATTTATGACTATCGGGAGAGAAACAGACTGAATTAACATCATTGTTATGACCAATTAATCTCTATATTTATTTCCCTTTTTTAATATCCCATAAGTACACAAATTTTCCATTGCTAAATGCTAATGAATTGTTAGCAGGTGAGAAGCCCAATGAAATTACATCCCTTTTACTTAAAATTATTTGCTATATTTTTGCTGTTCTAACGTACCAAATGCAAATAGAATAATCATTGCTGCAAGAGGCTAATAATTTACCATCTGGAGAAAAGCAAACTTAATTAATACAACCAATATGTCTATTTAAGATAATTCCCTCATGTATCCTTAAATTTCTCCACTTACAATTATATAGTTTTGCTTGATTAATAGACATTCCACTAATAATAACATTATCAAATTAAGATCCACTTAAGTTACATCTAAATAAATTCGCTCCTATTAAAGAAGTATTTTTAATCCTAATGTCTTCAAAATTTTGATTTCTCAAGTCAACCTTCATTTGAACTAATAAATGAAGAGAGTTAGATCCGCCTTAGATGAATTTGTCATCTATACTTGTGAGGTTTACAAGAAATTTCAAAAAATTAATAATTTTTTCTTAGTTTGATATATTACTAATAAGAATATCTCTATTTTCTTTATCAACGTTTGCAGAGTAATTCATTGAATTAAAGTCATGCTCAGCTATTTTTTAGAGAACATTTGTAAATTTTTTAATACTACTTGCAAAGGCACCTAATTTCCACCATTAATCAAAAAGTTATAATTCACCACATAAAAAAATGTATTCATCTCTATGTAGTTGAGATTAAAATTTTGAAAGAAAATTTAGAGAATCTGGGACTTTTTTCTTTAAAAGTATTTCGATTATTAAATTGAATATTTAAGTATCTATATCTTCTAGGGGTTATAAAACAGCAAACAAATCGCTTTATTTGTTATGAGTCATACTTTTTCTTTTTAAATATAATATTGAGTTTTCTATTACTTTATTGAGAATTTTATACGAGAAACCAAAACATTATTAATCATATGTTTAGTTTAGGATGAAACCCAATTCTTTTCAAGAGTTGGAGTTGATGTAAATTATAAAGTGGCAACTCACTTGTGTAAAGCTGATTGAAATATTGATAACGATTTAATCAATCTTTTTAATAAAATGCAAATGAAAGATTAGTTTTTTTAGGGGAGAACTTAAAATAAATGAAAGTTGTGCTTTTTGAAAGGCGAATTTTATGTCCACAATTTTAATGCAACCATAGATGATTCACTCTACAATTTGATGTCTGGCGTGTTCTGAAATAAATAAATAGGAAATTTTTCAAAAATATCAACTTAAGGTTGGGGTGAATTTTAATATCTTGTTGTAACCTACCTAGTGATATAGCACCTTGGTTGGAATCGTTAGAAAAAATGCACATTTAATCATTTAAACATTAAATCAGAATCATCTTAAAATAATGTAAAGCATTAATAATGATATTTAAATGACAAAAATCATGATCAACATTGAAGTGCCTATAAATATTAGATAAATATCAATTAAATATCCTGTGAAAATATTGATACTTATTTTTTATATTTCCACTACGAGATCTTGATTCCTTTATTACATCAATTCGATTTTTAGTTGTTAATAAAATAAAATCATATGAAGTCACTCATCAATTAGCATAGTTGAAATTGATTAAGTGAATTTAGTACCAGTATTTGGAGGGCAAAATTGGTTAACAATGCATAAATTTATGTACTAGTTGGCACGAAACCCTAAAATATTTTGGAATAGAGTGTTAGCTTGGCTAAAAAAGTAAGATGGAATGCAAGTCTTATTTGTAATTTCAATACGATTATTTTTGGAATGCATTAAGTATTATTAGTATCATAAATCACAGCCAGTAACACATCAAATACATGATTATTTATATTAACTCAACGTTATAGAAGATAAAATCTCTATTGGGTTTGGAGATTTTCCTAAAAAAAAAGAAGGAGGACTTAGCGTTAAAGTTGTTATAAGTTGCAAGGTAGGATAGAGATGCACTACATAATTTGCATTTCAAAAAAAAAAATTTTCTTTTCTAAATTGAGCATACTACACAAATGTCCACTGAAATCGATCCCTGTCGACTCACATTTTGGATTAAACGACACTGAACAAGACTTGTAAGTGGAAGATTAGAAATTTTTTGAGCAATTCATTTGAAATAAACTAAACATATTTTAGAATAAAAAAGTAAAGGGTTGAATGCAAAAAATTTTGATGGATAACTCTAGAAGGTCGAGCAGAAATATTTTTTTGAAGAAAATCTTAAAGTAACAAAAGTCGGAATCTTTCACATTTCGGTTATACTAAAGGATTCATTTGGATTGTGCAAAAAATCATATTAAAGTATTTAAATTATTATTTATGTTCTCTAAATACGTTATTGATGAAATCGTTCTTTAGTTTTGAATGAAGAGCCATTTAAATTTTATTTAACACTCCAGCACTTGTGCATAATCTGCTTGGGTTCAACTTGATTATAATTTAACTTATATTTCAAGGTACTTAAATATTTAAACTTTAATATTAAGACACTACTTTTTAGTAAATTCATTATTATAGTTTAGAAATAGCGCTTCCTATCTGATCATACCATTTGCAAAACAATAGTTACAAGTTAATTATTTGATTATATGGATAAAATATTATTCTTCCTATTTATCTAATAATGAATGCAAAAAACTACATAGTTAAAGTAAAATGAATGCACTTATTTTTGATATTATAGCAGCTGTATCAGGTAATTAGTGTCATCAAGTGACTCGTCTCAACTGTTTAGATATTTCATATAAATTAGGTTGAGCCCAAGTAGGAGTACTTCTAACACTAAATGTTCAAGCTTTTTCTTAACATAAAATTATAAGAAGGCAGTCTTAGAGTATGGCAAAAATATAATGCACATTACAAGTGAAATATGCTCAAATATATACATTATATGAGTATTGCAAACTACTTTTATTAACTGCAAGACAAGGCATAATTTTATTTATATGATCCTGATTTAATTTAAGGCTGTGCTTCAATTACAAATATCTGAGGAATAAACCTATTTATAGAAGCGAAACTGACCTACGAGAGTGCAATATCCAATATTAAAATAACAAGTAGCGATATAATCATTAGTTTTTAAAGATTAGAAAATTTTGTTTAAGTTAGGGTAGCAATAATGAATGAACAAAAAAATTTAAACAAGAATATTTACCTTATTTTATAAATTGATACTATATAATTTTGGTTTTAAGTTTATTTGAATAAATATTTAATAGTTATATGCAACCCTTATCTAATTGACAAATGAAATTTCGCTGCTCTATAGGCAGGTTGATTGTAAGGAAAATCAACCAGTCATTTTTATAGAACGGCAAGAGTTGAAATTAATTTGAACAAATAGTTTTTTGTCGATTTATGGTGAGTCATAGTAAGAACGAATAATTTTCACCAAGATATTTTCATAGGGTGAATTTTATAACATCAATTGAGCATTGCAAAAGATGAAATTGTAATTTCAGATTCAGGTAAATTATTAAACGAGAGTTACCGCAAATAAATAACATTTATTTATTTGAATTTAAAAAAACAATAATTTATTTGTTGCAGAATTATATGACATACAACTTGTCTATATATTTGAATTATTATTTATTATTAAATGCCATCATATCTAATAATAGAATTTAGTGAATCGCATAGCTATAGAACTTGAAATAAATGGGAAGAAAATTATAAAATAAAAGATAAATAAATTCAATATCAAAATGTGATGATTCTCATTATAATATCTAATTAATTTATTTATGAATCATAAAATTCTAAAATCAAACTCAAATAAAAGTAAAAGCAACCTCAAAAGCAGAATTGGCACATCCAGAAATTAATCCAAACTATATACTCTTTATGAATTAATAACTAGTAGTGATTAGGCAATAGGAAATTGATCAATTTGGACGGGCTTTAGTAAGTATTACATCAATTTCATTAGCAATAAGTAGAATCAATGTTATAAGATGCTTCAATCCCCTTAATTCAAAAAAGTTTAAGTAATAATAAATTGCTTCATGATGATTAAGAATTTGCTGCTTTTAAATTGTAAGTCCTTGAGAGAAACTCTAGTAAAGCATTCTGAACTTCAGTTTCGTCAAAACTAAATACATTGTTGGAGCATGGATCAAATTCTCTCAATTTTTCTTTAAAATGAAGGCTGTAATTTGCTTAAAATAATTTGAGAGGATCTGAATGATGATAAGTTTAAAGAAGTATATTGACTAACTGATGCTAGATGTAATTTTATTTACTAGGATAGGTTTGATCTCAGACTTAATGATGGACTTAAAAAAAACTCTTAAACCTTCCAAAGCAAGGAGAATAAGTATTCTCACGATGGAGCTTATTATTAATTCTATATCATTTTGAATCATGCAATAAGTTGATACTTGATTGGAGCGTTTATTCCACATTTTAATTATACATAATAAAGCAAAGATATTATCAGAATAATTGAAATTTAATACATCTGCTTTCTAATGTTATTAAATACTTTGTGAAGCCAAATTCTGTTATAACAAAAGTGTAACTTGAAAATTATGATCTCTTTGAGATTTGATGATATTGAACAAGCACATAATATATGAATTAGATATTATTTAGAATTTCTTTTTGATGCAAGCAAAAGATTTGAATATGATAATAATTGATATGATAATTAATTGAAAGAGTTATTGGCTTATATTTGAAGACCACATCTCAGAATATTCTTAAGAATTTATTGAGCTCAAATTAGGAGGATAACATCATTAAAGAACAAGGCAGTGATAAACAATGATAAAAAGAATAAGCCTACTTAAATATCAATTTTAGTGAAAATCAATTGATTTATTAGCTTAGAATAAGTGGTGTTGTCATTTAAGAGTTGTAACAAGATTTCCATATAAATATATAAATTGAATTTATACAGCTTCAATTTGAATCATTTTTCTAACACCTAAAATGATTTCTGTTTCCTCATCCCTATGGTCAATAATGATTAATGCTATAAGCTCTTTAGTATTGAACTACTAAATTATGTGATCTGTATAATATAATTTACAATTACTTTTATTGATATTTAATTTAAACTCTTGACATGCTTTTAAGATATGATTTTTAAGATTCTTGAATTCTTTTTCACTCACATATTTAAAACTTGCAATAAAAATAACAATTGAACAAATTTATCTTATTTGAAGATCCAATCATTCAAACTCATTATCATATATGGGTGCTATTTTCCTGCTAATAAATTAATAGACTAATAAACATAGTCCCAAAAACGATGCCTTCAATAAAATGTTAGATTCAAAATTGCTAGCCATAATTATAATGAAAGCCTTCTTTGACAATTTGATATATTCCCAAAATAGCTTTACTCATTATATTCATTGAACAAATAACATATATGATTTCTAAGTTTATTCTAATCGAGTTTGTCTTTTTTCAGAAGCTTTAAAAAATAGAGAAAAAGGAATTAAGCATATTTCATTTTATCAATTAACATTTATAATTGTTAGCATTAATTAAATAATAGAATTTTGGATATTGAATTAGATGTGGAACAATTAAATAATATTAATAACTCTAATTGTTGTTTTAATAAGGATCATATTGAAAGGATACAGATCCTAAATCAAATTTACTGCCTTCAGAATCAATATAATGAGTTGTAAAATTTTAAGTTCATTAAAATGTTTAGCATATTTCGTTAAGCCAAAAGTTTTTTTAATTTGACAACATAATTGTTATAAGTTAAAAATAATTTCTTTTCTGCTATTTTTTATGTAACTTTAATTTTAAATGCTTCTTATTGCATTTCTTAAGAGTTTGTGAAAAAAGTTAAATGAGTGGGGAATTCCACTAAATTATCAAAAAAGTTTGCAGCTCTAGTTGTTTATAAAGCAAAGTTTGATCATCTCTTCAAAAATTAATTCTAATTTTTATTTATGGCAAGTATAAAAATTCATATAAATACCATTCATTCTCGTATTGAAATGGATCTTTATCTAATCTAAAGATATGATTTTAACTGTCAGCGGTATTGTAAGCAAGAATCGTTTGGATAGTCTTATTTTGAAAGTAAAGGCAATCGTATTAAAGCAGTTCCAAAATTCCAGATAATTTTCCTCTAACATTATTGAAATTGAAGCCATTACTATCCATTAATCCAAATAATCCTAATTGTTTGTTAAACTCAAAGGATTATATGTTGACCATAATCTACAAAAGCCAACTTTTTAATAGAAAGGATCCATGCTAATAATTTACTGAGAATAAATAACTTCCCACACTTAAAAGAAAATTTAATTATCTTCATCATCATATTTAGTTTTTTATGCTTTGACATAAATTAATGTTAATATTTAATATAAAGGGATTACTGTTCCAATCCTTTCTATAGTAGTGGCTCTACATAATTATATAATATTATTATAATTATACAAAAGCACTTTTCATCTATATATTCAAAATATATAGATATAAATTACAGATTAAAAAATTATTAGAACATTATCACTTCTTTTCATTCTTTAAATCGAAAAAATTTATGAAAAGCATAATAAATTAAATTTTAAAGACATTTTAAAAATGAATATATATATATTAGATTAGATTAGTATCTCAAATAAAAATAGAGAAAATACTAAAACCAATGGTTGTTTTAAACTGAGGAAAGTTGTCTTTTTATTATTATTTCCTAAATTTTTTCAAATGAGCAGATCATGAAATCTAAAAAATGATTATTTATTTTATAATAAAAATTTGGTATATCTTCATAAATGGATCAATATTTTAAAGAACATAATAATAATGTTTTATCCTTTTAGCATTATTCAAAAGCCTATGTAAGATTAATTATTGAAATAATCATAGGAGTACTTCATTACAGATAAATTGGATGAAGCCTTACAAGAAATTGATTTGGCATTGAATCTTAATTTATAATTTTCTGAGGCCTTCATTTTGAGAAGTATTTTTATATACATAAAACTTAGGTTAAATATTTGAAAAAATTTAGTAATATGATAATGCATTGTAAGATGCAGATTGTAGTATAAGAATGAATAATAACTTGGCTGAACTTTATAATTAAAGCGGTGTAACTTTGTTCTAGTATCTTGGTACTTTATTTGCAGAGGCCCCTAATTTAAATAGTATATTGATTTAAATAAAATTAGATGGATTATTTGAAGAAATTGTATTAAAGGGTAAGGAATTGGAAGAAGTAATTGAAATAGAAACCATAAAATATAATTTTGATGTACACAGAGATAGAACTTTTGCCTTAATTCTCAATCCATAATTTGCCCAGCATAATGCTTTAGACAGTATATTTATTAAAATAAAAATTTAGGTGGAATACAACAAAAAAGGTTATTATATGATAAACCATTGAGTAGTAATATAACAACATATAATTTGGAAGAAAGTTAATTAAGATTAAATTAAAATATGATTGAAGGTTATGTAAAAATACATTAAAATATGGCTGAGAGTTATTTTTAAAGAGGTAAAACATATATCTTAAGTCTAAGCAACAATTTTGTGGAGATAACATAAATTTTATAATGCTTTATAAGATTGCTTGAAAAGTATTTTGATGGATAAAAATTTCGCAATGTCGTATTGTAGAATTGGTATATGTATAAAATTAATTTAAAGGTCAGATAATGTACGATTTGAATTTGAAAGATAAAGCACTCTTATATTTTACCAAAGCTATAGAAGTAGATAGTAATTTAAACGAAGCATATACATTTAGAAGTAAAACAATAATTATTATATAGGTCTGTGCATCGAATAGAATGATGCAAATTCAGCTATTTAATCATCATAGTCATCATTGTCATAAAGCCATAATGTTTAAGATCTAAACAACCAAAATTAATTCATCTCTAATATTGAATAAGCAACAACTTAACAGTAAATAATTTTCGATGAAGCATTAAGTCATATTTGGTAAGAAGTAGAGCTTTTGTAAAACAGATTATAATAGGTTTAGAAGGAAAACATTGAATTGAAATAAGCATAAATTAAGGAAAAGGAAGAATTAATAAATATGATCTTCCTAGAAGATCGAAAGTAAATTGAAAAATCATTATAAGTGCTTAATAAACCAGAAAATTATTATTAAAAAATATATTATCTCTCTCTATTTTGGAGAGTTTATAATTACTTATTAGCTATATAGCAAATATCTAATGATATATTATCAATAAATACAAATGCAATTATTGAAATTAATTCAGAAAATATTTAAAATATACTTCAAACTATTTCCAACAAAGGATTAGTTGCACTTTCGCCAATATCTTTTGTTTAGGATAATTTTAGAATTATGAATGATGCCCTTGACTATGCAATTGATGGAAAGAATGAGAATCGCTTTAATTAAAGAGTAAGAGTATTGAAAGAGATAGTAAAATAATTTGCCCCAATTCCATAAAAATTAGAAATTGAAGTCCAATTGGCAGCCATTTATTTTGGAAAATCACAAAAATCTAATAAGAAAGTAAGAGAAAAAACACCTTTAAGTTAAAAAGTTGATGAGCTATTAGAAAAAGAAGATAATACTTTATAATTATAAAAGGATATATACTGGATTTGTGGAACAGAGGGTGCATTAAAAGTTTTAAGCTACTTGGAAAAAAACTAATAAAAGATATTGAAAGAAAAACAAAAACAGTTAAGTGAGATTATAAAAGATGCATTTAATACAGATTCTGAGTTATGTTAATTAATTTGATATGATTCAATAACTATAAGACCAATATGTTCATATTAACTTAATCCATATAGCATGAATCTTGTTCATTTTTTTTTTCAACAATTGTATTTTTTTCATTCTAAAATAAATCAGTTTTCAACCTATCGCCTGCATGTTCTAATATGGTTTATTGCAACAAAAATTTTGGAAAAATTAGCTATACTCAGAAGAAAAAATTAGTGAGTTTGGGATAGTAAAACACTGTCTTATCACCTATGAGAATAAGAGATTTTTAGGAAAATGTCAATTACTAGGTTAGATATGAGGATAATTATTTTTCAATTAAATTGCAAAGCCCAATACATCTGATCCATATAATGTCAAATAATTAGAATCCAATTATAAGTCTTGGTGTCTTATATTGCTCACGCTTTGGTTATTTTAAAAATTAATTTGTCATACTCTCTTCTCTCTTAATTAATCTGTTCGGCAACCTATTTATTAGAAGATCCTGTTCTCTTTCAAGGATGAATTTTTTTAAATTCATCCTTTATATTTTGCTTAATTGAAATAGAATAAATTAGTGTTGTGTAAAATTAAAAATTAAGAAAATGGATATTAAAGTTTATGTACAAAATTTTAGTTTGGTTTAGTTAGAATTGTTGAAATCGAACAATTAGAGATATGAAAACATTAAATTTTCTTAAATTTGATAAAAAAAATAGTAAATGTATGAGGACTAGTTGTCTTTCAATATCTAAAATAAAAAAATTTTACTTTTTTAATACTCTACACTAAATTATTGATAGTTTTAACAGCACAACAACTATGAAAAACTATTAAATAACTTGAAAGACTAGTTGATTAGTAAATAAAGTTAATTTTCTTAATAACTCACCTTCATGAGAGGGTCCACCTTAATAATTAGAATTAAAGTTAACTAAATAGTTATTGGAATAATATTCGATATTATTCAAAGAATAACTCATAATGATTTGCAATGCAAAAGTTGAGGACAGGGGATTGGAAACATTTTTTCAAATTTCTAAAGAAAGATTTATACCTAAATCACAATCTATATAAATGAGCATGCAACTTTTATATTTAAAACCATTAAGAATTTAATTTGACTTTAAGAGATATAATCTATAATTCACATACTAATTGATTAAGACCACCTACAAAATCTAGTCCTAGTTAAAGTAAGTATGTATTTGTCAATGGATCCATCCAAAATGGGGTCTATATTTATCGGATAGTAAGAAGAATCATAAATGTTGTGAAGAAATGTTAAGACCATGTCTCAGTGAGTTTTTGGTTTCAAGAATTAATTGGATTAAATATAGTTAAGTTTTAAACCTGGTCTCCATGTGTTCTTTTATGTAGATTAATACCTTCCTGCATCAAAAATATTCAAACACTTTTAGTTCATTAGATACGGTATTAAATATATCATAACAACTTTGATAACAACTCTTGACTACTATCTTGATTAATTATACCCAATATCGACAACATTATGACGTATTAGAGAATGAATGCAATTTTTGAAAAATCGTCAATACTAATAAATTATAAGAAGGAGAAAAATTTCAAGAGTTATGCATGCTGATATGGGTTTAGACCATTTCCTCTAAATTTCTTTACCCTAGAATTAAGAGAAATCCTATATTGAAGTAAATAATAATTCTAGGTAGTTTATTTAAAATTCTGGTCTACTTTTAGAAACTATACAGAAGGATTCATGTAAGGATTGAGTACTTTTTGAAACTTTATCATATCAATCACTAGTTCTTTTTCTCTCCATTGAAAATGTACTTCATTTCTAAAAAATCTTATTTTTATCATTCTCTATCAAACGGAATGCTTATATTAAATTTCTTTTGCTAAATTTTTTTAGACCATTCCTTATAACTTATCCATAATTTAATTGTACTCTTACATCAATTTCTGATCCAAAGTCTAATAGAGATTATCAAGGGGAAAATCTAGAATCTTATTATTTGTCAAAATCCTACAGCAATTTTACATTGTCATTCTTATAAGGTGGTATTTCTTTTTACATCTAAAGATTCCTTATATTATACCCATTACTTATCTCCTTACTATAATAGTCAAATCATTTGCCTATCCCAAAAATTACCTTTCTCTAATATATCATTTATTTCTCATGTATTTCTTCTAATATTCTATTAATCATTTTGGTTTTTCTATCACTGCTTTGATGAATCCATCAAATATGTTTCAGCCAATAAAGAACTTAAGACTAACCTTTATTGAGGCCATTCTTAAAACTTACCATTTTCTAATAATTTCAATCAATATTCTTGAAATAATCATAATTGATTTAGCAATTATCCATTCACAGAATTATAGGTATTAGGCATCTCATAAAAACAACAAATTTGTATGCTTAATTTACTTTGACTTTAATCTTTGATGAACTTTCTTGATGTATACCACATCTTTCTATATTTAGTATCTAAGTACCATTAAAATTTTATTCAATAATAAAGAAGAGTTAGAAAAAGCGATCCAATACTAAACAATCAAATGATACCAATTTTTACTATTATCAAAGTATATCTTATGATAATATAAATAGGATATTTATTCGATGACAATTGAGATATAGGCTACAACACTGCATTCAAGTTGAATCATAATAATGTAATATGTAGTATAATTGAGGTATATCCTAGAGTAGCATAAGTAGGAATTTATTCTAAACTACTGGAGATAAAGAAAGGGCACTTCTGATCTCAACACTGCAATCAAGTTGAATCAAAAGATGGACAGAGAGTAAAGAAGGAGATTAAATTGAGACAGGAACTCAATAGTAATAGATATAATGATCGGAAATTTTTAACTTCTGATTTGAAATCTGCAGTAATATGAGATGAAAAGGGAACATATATATCCTATGAGTGAAGCAATCATTCAGCCAAAAAATATTGGAACAGACTTAAATACGAGGTTAGGGAAGAAAGTGAGCAGATATGATATGATTATTAAATGAGTGGCAAGAGGAAAAATAAATGAATTCTTGGGTTAATAGTTGAAGTTGAATTGTTCCTAAAAAAAGCTTCACTGTATTATGTCAAATCTGTATTATAATGATTTTGGAGTGCCAATTTTTGTTAGTTTCATCTATAAACTTTTTGTGTGAAGCAATATGGTCATCTTAGTAGAATTGAATGAAAAATTGGAAATTTTTTCAAATTTGTCCTTATATCTAGACTCATCCTTTCACCTCAGATATATGTGATCCAGTTAAAAATCAAACCAACAATACTATTGAAAAATCTAGCCCCTTCGATCAGCCTTTCTCAAGAATTCAGGTGACAAATAATTCAATTCGATTCCTTTATTCCCTTCAACCTTATTTTCCCATTCCGATATCTATCCTAATTATAAATGTGAATTAAAGATTATGGTGAGCGAGAGCTGAGTAATTAAGCCACATATAAACAGGTCCATCAAGAAACATGCTTTAATATTTACAATGGCAATTTATTAGTGCAGGAGTAACCGAGAAAAATATTTCTATTTCAGAAATTGTAAAATCGACCATAATTACTATATTTTAGTTAATATTATTTTATCTACTTTTAATTCAAAGCAGACTTCTACCTTTAACAGATGCATTTTGACCATTTTCTATATCGGTTTTTGATATAAATTTTAGCATACTTTTCCATTCACATTTATATAAACAGTTTTATTTTTCTAAATATATTAAAAAGTTATACTCCTTTATTCTAATTTTTTTAAATTAAGTATTATTAAACTCATTTCATTAAATATTGTCCTTTAACAAACTTGAATAAATGAATATAAGAGGTCTTATACATAATATTGAATAATTGATCTGTTTTATTAAATATTTCATTTTCTTGTATATATAGTATAATAATAAATACACTGCATTTATTTGTTTTCGAATAAAATGTATACCATCTAGTATTTCATCATATAAGTAATTTTTTTTTTAGTTAGAATTAAGAAACCATAGTGAAAACTTCATGTATAAATCTAAGTTCAAAATATCAATTGGCAATAAAATTTTAATAGATTAATTAACGTATAGTAAACACACATGTACAATTCATATTCGGATTTGATGTAATATAAATCAAACATTCAAAAACATGTTGATTAATTGATAACTTAGTTAAAAATTGAGAAATCCCATTAATAGTTTGTTTTAGTTTTTAATTTAAAATAGGCTCATTTTGATTAAAATAGAATAAACTCTCAATCAAAACTCTACCCCTTAATTGCTTTAAATTATTTATGGTGTGTTCAGATAAATTTTGATTTCACTGCTTTTGAAAGCAAAACTAATGATATGTCCTATCAAGCAAAATACTTATATTCACTATTGCTTATCTGATAATTTAGTAAATTCATCATTCTTAATGCAATATCAAAGGTTTGCAATAGCTTTAATCATAATAAATATTGATAAGATTACTATGATATAAAACCATAATTGAAAAAAATTAATAGAAAAACATATAATAAAATAATGAACTAAATCAGAAATCTTAAGATTTATTGTTCATGTGGGGAAATGAATCTTTTTCAATAGGTTTGCCTAAGTAAGTCATGCAAAGCTGTTAATAGAGCTTATTGTCTTAAATGCGATAAAAGAATTGAACATCTTGCGTGTCAAAACAATCTAAAAGATGAAAACGGATTAATTCACTTTTTTGAAGATATTGGGGAAAAATAGAATTTTATATTGAGAAATAATAAGAGTGCTTACAAGAAATTTTAGAAAAATTTAATGAATTAACTTCCAAGTTGAGGGATAAGTGTCAATATAATCAATAGAGACTTTAAGAATTAAATGAATCAAAATTAAAGACCATAATAGACGAAATTTTTTAATTTTAAAATGAATTTGAAAAAGGTTTAGAAAAAGAGATTTAGATTTTTTCAAAAGAAATGGATACAAAATTACATAATTGGATCAAAGAATTAAGTCCACCAAATGCACAATGTAAATATTAATTATTTTTAGAACCTTCCATATCCGAGTCTCAAGAACACGAGAAGCGAAAAACAAAGAGATCTGCTCAAAATGAAGCTGCTCAATAACTCGGAGATTAAATTTACAGAGCATCAAGAGCGCCAAAAATTCCTCAAGATTCTTTTGAGGCAGTAATAAAGTTCTTACTTGATTAAACAGATTTCAACTTAGATCCAAGAATAGATACTATACAAAATAAATTTATTTTCTTTAGCGTAGAAATCAACCAACAATCCTTTGAAAGCAATATTGCTTAAATCTAAAATATAAGGTTTCCTAATGATTATACCGTAATATATCAACATGACAGATCTTGTATAAGAACTTTGAAACCAATAGCTTTCAGTAAATATAATGAGTTTTACTTAATGAAAATAAAAAATAGTAACTTTTAGGATGAGGTGTTTTTTCTTAAGATGCCTATTGGGTATTTATTTTTTAAATTCAAAGAGGATAAACCTATAGCTCAATGAATGAAGCAATTCAAGATTGTAGATCCCATCTAATTTCGAAAAGATTTATGCAAAAATTTGTTTCCTAATTAAATGGGAAAGGATGCAAAACTCCTCCTATTGGATTTTCAGATCTCCTGATTCTTTAAGAAAATGAAAGTAAATTTGTTTTTTAATTATTAGAGAGTTTTTGGATTGCAGAGAGATTGTATAAGGGAGATTATGTAACATTTAATAATAACGCTGGATATATAAATAGTGATGATAATCTCTTAAATAATGTAGCTTAAGTGTTTTCTATTTACACATATATCATTAGTAAGTTTTAGTATTTAATTTGCAATTTGTAAGGAGTAGGTTCTTTCCTAACAGATCCAATAATCAATACAGTTGAAGGGAATTTTGGAGAAACTGATTTAGGCATAGATGGTCTTTCTGAGTATGTTATTTCAGTTGAAAGATTTAGAGAAACACGTTATCAAAAATACTTAGATATGTTGGATGTAAAATTTTGATTCATAAATTCATTATTAAAGATTATATTAAAAAATATCTTTTGTTCTCAAGACTCGCCTTCTCAAAATTAAATTTTATGTTAATTATCCCTATTTTTATCAGACAATTATAGATTATATGTTTTGTAAGTAGAATGCAATATACAAGATTTCGTATCCTAAATTTAAATTAGGTCAAAATAACAAGCAACAAAATCTTAATCCTCATAGGTGAATGTAAAATTTTATAGTAATAGCAACTAATGATAAAGGAAAATAAAAATTTTTCTGACTTTTTGTAATTTTTACGAAATGCTTTCTTAATTTTGGTTATAAATTGATCAATAACTAACGTATCAAATATCAAATTAATTGAGGATAAACTTTAACGGGAAAAGTCTCCTATAATATAATTAGAGTAGACTATTGAATCTTTTAATAACAGAAATAGATATCTTGATACATAGCATTTATATGTCTCTAATACTAAGAAAAGATTTCTTCAAGTTATTTGAATAGTATGATAACAAGAGATTTTTAAAGAATCAATTAGCTAAAAAAAACTATGGTAGATTATTTTCTAGTTGTTAAATCCTAAAGTGATATTTAAATTAATAACCGTAGGATTTGAACATTATTAAACACATTTGCAAGAGCAAATATAAATGGAAAATGTGAATGATGTTCAGAATATTCTAATGATCATTCATTCAAATATCAATATTTATAAAGGATTATAAATGATTGTTAAATAGAAAAAAATAAATTAATATATCAAGATCAACTTAAATAAATGCCTCTATCAAACAATTGATGAAAGTATGCTGTTGTTTCAAAAAACCAAATAGAAGGATTCGCCGAGGAGGAATAAACAGATTTAATTTATAAAGAATCAATTTAGAAATAAAATTAATAAAAAATATAAATTTATTAATTAGCATGTTTAAAGATATTTTACTATTATCAGAAATTAAGATTCTATTAGAACTCATCAGTTTGGTATTGGAAGATAAAAATAATATATAAAACTTTCAAAAATATAAAATCAGTCATATATTCTGGCGTGGCAATAGGGATATAGGGTCATTTTTATGTAAAGCCACATTAGCCTATTCCAGTTATAGTTCATTATAGGAATTATATAATTAAATGGGGTTTGATATATGAATACTATACCTATTTCATATGTTTTAAGGTAAGAAACTAGCAAAGGAACCTATCTATCCTGAGATGCATAACACTATTCTCCTCACTCTTTTAAGATGTTGATTAAAACTTACTTGCTATCGATTATAACTCAAAGATATTTAAAACGCATAATCTAATCAATACCCATCATATGCCATCCATTACTTTCCACATTTACCTTAATTAAGTCTTTAGAGTTTAATCATTTGCTTGAGTCATCTGCATAAACAATCATCATAGTTCCAATAAGTATGTTGTCAAGTTTATCCTGACTCCTTTTGCGACTTCTAATCTAGCTACCAATCATCAAGACCTCATCTAAAGCATAAATCAAGTACAAAAAATAGTAAAAGAAAAACCCAACACAAAAAGAGCAACATTGATGCACACCATCTATAAAATAAACTTTAAATTAATATCCTCCATCCTAAATATCAATTTTCATAACCCCATGCGAGCCCACCAAGGCAATTGCTTGTAAAAAGATTCTGATACCTTTTATCTTCTCTGAGAAGACAGAAAACTAGTAAATTATTTATAACTTCTAACAGTTTTTATAGAAAACTTCATCCATGAATATCAGTGTAAAGGATCTATTGATTAGCATCAGTGTAGAATTTTCTTTTAGATAATTGAAAATTCATTAACTACATAGAAAATTTGAATACTATTAAGCTTGATTACTCAGAAGATTTAAACTATTTTTTATTCTCATATTTTAATTATTATTATTGAATATTTAGACTTCTAATTAATAAATTGCACACCTCTATTAAGTAATAGATAAATCATCAAAAATATCCTCACTATTATATAAAATTTAAAAATTTTTAAGTTAGACACAGAAATAAAATATTGAATCATCTTGATAAACCTATCAATAGATGAATAGATTTCATAGTAAAATTTGGTTTTAAGAATTTAAGAGTAAAATAATAACTTTTTGAATATTCTCTTGCATGACCTGAGACAATAATTAGCAGAGCAAGGAGACTGACAAAGGCTAAAATTTGAAATTTCATTTAAGAATTTATCAGTACTTTATAAGGAATTAATTAAATCTTTTTTTTAAGAAATGATTAAATGCTCATAGAGAGAAGCTATTTTCTAAGCTAAGAGCTTTTGCAAAAAATCAGTCAGCATTTTGATTATATTCTGAAGGAAGCTTTGAGAAATATACAATTAGTCTTATATTTTAAAGATGAGCATAAATTTATTCTCATATGCTTTTGACATTTACACTTTGCTTTGCTCGTTTCTTTAGAGAGATGAATTTTGGTAGAATGATAATAATGAATCAAAGTAGAATTTATTTTTATTTTCTATTNCCTATTTCATATGTTTTAAGGTAAGAAACTAGCAAAGGAACCTATCTATCCTGAGATGCATAACACTATTCTCCTCACTCTTTTAAGATGTTGATTAAAACTTACTTGCTATCGATTATAACTCAAAGATATTTAAAACGCATAATCTAATCAATACCCATCATATGCCATCCATTACTTTCCACATTTACCTTAATTAAGTCTTTAGAGTTTAATCATTTGCTTGAGTCATCTGCATAAACAATCATCATAGTTCCAATAAGTATGTTGTCAAGTTTATCCTGACTCCTTTTGCGACTTCTAATCTAGCTACCAATCATCAAGACCTCATCTAAAGCATAAATCAAGTACAAAAAATAGTAAAAGAAAAACCCAACACAAAAAGAGCAACATTGATGCACACCATCTATAAAATAAACTTTAAATTAATATCCTCCATCCTAAATATCAATTTTCATAACCCCATGCGAGCCCACCAAGGCAATTGCTTGTAAAAAGATTCTGATACCTTTTATCTTCTCTGAGAAGACAGAAAACTAGTAAATTATTTATAACTTCTAACAGTTTTTATAGAAAACTTCATCCATGAATATCAGTGTAAAGGATCTATTGATTAGCATCAGTGTAGAATTTTCTTTTAGATAATTGAAAATTCATTAACTACATAGAAAATTTGAATACTATTAAGCTTGATTACTCAGAAGATTTAAACTATTTTTTATTCTCATATTTTAATTATTATTATTGAATATTTAGACTTCTAATTAATAAATTGCACACCTCTATTAAGTAATAGATAAATCATCAAAAATATCCTCACTATTATATAAAATTTAAAAATTTTTAAGTTAGACACAGAAATAAAATATTGAATCATCTTGATAAACCTATCAATAGATGAATAGATTTCATAGTAAAATTTGGTTTTAAGAATTTAAGAGTAAAATAATAACTTTTTGAATATTCTCTTGCATGACCTGAGACAATAATTAGCAGAGCAAGGAGACTGACAAAGGCTAAAATTTGAAATTTCATTTAAGAATTTATCAGTACTTTATAAGGAATTAATTAAATCTTTTTTTTAAGAAATGATTAAATGCTCATAGAGAGAAGCTATTTTCTAAGCTAAGAGCTTTTGCAAAAAATCAGTCAGCATTTTGATTATATTCTGAAGGAAGCTTTGAGAAATATACAATTAGTCTTATATTTTAAAGATGAGCATAAATTTATTCTCATATGCTTTTGACATTTACACTTTGCTTTGCTCGTTTCTTTAGAGAGATGAATTTTGGTAGAATGATAATAATGAATCAAAGTAGAATTTATTTTTATTTTCTATTTCTGCTGTCTGTAAGTATATTTATCAGAATAAGTTTGAATAACTATTATTTTAATCAATTAGGAAATTAAAATGAACAAATTAGAATTATATTAAATATTATTCATTTTATTTCAAGGATCATCCTTTTCAAAGAATTTAAATAAAGTCTTAAGCCAACAAAAGTAATTTCTACATCAATTGGTGTAGAAATGTGATTATGATGTATATGTAGATATATATTAGTCAAATAATAAAATTAATTCTATTTTATATGAATACATTATTGCTCCTCTATATTTAATATTTCTGTAAAATTTTAACTAGAAGTCTTTCTAATAATTAATTAAATTATTATCTTTAATGAAACTATTGCTTTTGTTTTTCTTATTAGAATACTCAGATTTTGCTCCATTACCAGCTGCTGATGCAAATGCAAAATTTTCTGAAAATGATCTTTATGCTTTAAGAGAAGCATCTATTATTAGGGGGAATTACAAAGATGTAGCTTCTCAATTTAATGGAGCACTAATATCTTCAGCAAGAATCAATACTTTTTGGACGCCAGGTATTGAAAATAGTCCTTTAAGAAACCTACTCTACTACTACCCCACAGGCCCAAATCTTCATTAAGGGCATGTTGTTGCTTGGCTTGGTCAATCAATAATAGTCCAATTTTTATAAGCATATTAAATCAATACTGTAAGGTTTTGGATGTGGGATATTGATAATAGAGAAACAGACATGCAAGTATTCGCAATAGCAGCTGATAGGAAGACTGAAAAAGTTATTTTTGATGATATTAGAACCAAGCCTAATGTATTATCATTTAAAAATCTTTCCAATATAAATTATAATAAATAAATGTTGTAAAGATTTCGGATTAATTGGTATCAGGCCTAAGATTTTACAGTAGAGGAGGGAATAATTTAGACCATTCAGGTACTTCGATAATCAAAATATAAGCCTTCTATGCCTTTTGATTATCAATAAACATACAAATTAAATAACAATAATCTCCTTCATATTATAAAATATTATAGAACTGAAATATGAAAAAATATTTCTACAGCCTTCAATGTTTGATCAAATTATTTTCGATAAATAATGTTTCACAAAATCAATTTTGAAAGTAAAATAATTGTGATTGACATATGAATCTCTTTATTTTAAAATCCTTCTAATAGATTATTTACAATTCTTAACTTATCTCTAAGTTTTGTTTTATGAACTACCAATTGGTAAATTTATTATCTTAAAAAACTGCTTTTAATATTTATCTGAAGAAGTAAATTGTTTTAATTTTTATTTTCGAGGTTTATTGTATCTCAGTATAAATCGATTGGCCGACGTATTATTCAGTTAATATATATAATATCCATTTCAGAAATGTGCATTAGATGCTGAAAGTTAATTATTTTAGAATAAAAATTCACAATTTGATTACTTGTGATAAATAATTACTACCATATAAAATTCTCAATACTCTTAATAATAATAATAATAATAATAATAATAATAATAATAATAATGATGTCTCTGATATGTTATTTATAATAAAAAAAACCTCAATTACTAGTAAATTGCATATAATGTATCTGGAAAGAGTACAAATATTTCAAAAATCAATGATTTCTATAATAATCAAACAACATACAATATTCTAGTTTTATATATAGTGGAGCACTAATATTTAGGAATTGATACTTGTTGTACAAAAGATTAATTAATATTGTAAATTAGTATTAGTACTCTGAACAANTAAGAGCTTTTGCAAAAAATCAGTCAGCATTTTGATTATATTCTGAAGGAAGCTTTGAGAAATATACAATTAGTCTTATATTTTAAAGATGAGCATAAATTTATTCTCATATGCTTTTGACATTTACACTTTGCTTTGCTCGTTTCTTTAGAGAGATGAATTTTGGTAGAATGATAATAATGAATCAAAGTAGAATTTATTTTTATTTTCTATTTCTGCTGTCTGTAAGTATATTTATCAGAATAAGTTTGAATAACTATTATTTTAATCAATTAGGAAATTAAAATGAACAAATTAGAATTATATTAAATATTATTCATTTTATTTCAAGGATCATCCTTTTCAAAGAATTTAAATAAAGTCTTAAGCCAACAAAAGTAATTTCTACATCAATTGGTGTAGAAATGTGATTATGATGTATATGTAGATATATATTAGTCAAATAATAAAATTAATTCTATTTTATATGAATACATTATTGCTCCTCTATATTTAATATTTCTGTAAAATTTTAACTAGAAGTCTTTCTAATAATTAATTAAATTATTATCTTTAATGAAACTATTGCTTTTGTTTTTCTTATTAGAATACTCAGATTTTGCTCCATTACCAGCTGCTGATGCAAATGCAAAATTTTCTGAAAATGATCTTTATGCTTTAAGAGAAGCATCTATTATTAGGGGGAATTACAAAGATGTAGCTTCTCAATTTAATGGAGCACTAATATCTTCAGCAAGAATCAATACTTTTTGGACGCCAGGTATTGAAAATAGTCCTTTAAGAAACCTACTCTACTACTACCCCACAGGCCCAAATCTTCATTAAGGGCATGTTGTTGCTTGGCTTGGTCAATCAATAATAGTCCAATTTTTATAAGCATATTAAATCAATACTGTAAGGTTTTGGATGTGGGATATTGATAATAGAGAAACAGACATGCAAGTATTCGCAATAGCAGCTGATAGGAAGACTGAAAAAGTTATTTTTGATGATATTAGAACCAAGCCTAATGTATTATCATTTAAAAATCTTTCCAATATAAATTATAATAAATAAATGTTGTAAAGATTTCGGATTAATTGGTATCAGGCCTAAGATTTTACAGTAGAGGAGGGAATAATTTAGACCATTCAGGTACTTCGATAATCAAAATATAAGCCTTCTATGCCTTTTGATTATCAATAAACATACAAATTAAATAACAATAATCTCCTTCATATTATAAAATATTATAGAACTGAAATATGAAAAAATATTTCTACAGCCTTCAATGTTTGATCAAATTATTTTCGATAAATAATGTTTCACAAAATCAATTTTGAAAGTAAAATAATTGTGATTGACATATGAATCTCTTTATTTTAAAATCCTTCTAATAGATTATTTACAATTCTTAACTTATCTCTAAGTTTTGTTTTATGAACTACCAATTGGTAAATTTATTATCTTAAAAAACTGCTTTTAATATTTATCTGAAGAAGTAAATTGTTTTAATTTTTATTTTCGAGGTTTATTGTATCTCAGTATAAATCGATTGGCCGACGTATTATTCAGTTAATATATATAATATCCATTTCAGAAATGTGCATTAGATGCTGAAAGTTAATTATTTTAGAATAAAAATTCACAATTTGATTACTTGTGATAAATAATTACTACCATATAAAATTCTCAATACTCTTAATAATAATAATAATAATAATAATAATAATAATAATAATAATGATGTCTCTGATATGTTATTTATAATAAAAAAAACCTCAATTACTAGTAAATTGCATATAATGTATCTGGAAAGAGTACAAATATTTCAAAAATCAATGATTTCTATAATAATCAAACAACATACAATATTCTAGTTTTATATATAGTGGAGCACTAATATTTAGGAATTGATACTTGTTGTACAAAAGATTAATTAATATTGTAAATTAGTATTAGTACTCTGAACAAATTATGTACCCATTATTTATAGGGATGGCTATCTATGTTAAGAGGATAAATTCAATTTTACTTCATTAGTGAAATAATTTACTTTTAAATATTAATTATTATGAAGTTGTAACAATAATACCATTATGTAACATTTAGATGAGTGGAAACGTCTTCGATAGAATTATAATTGTTACTTGAAGATTATTAAATAATTAAAACTATCAATTTAAAAAAGAAATTTTTGCCAAAAAAATTGAATGAGAATTCCTACTTAATCCATTTAAATTGAAATAATTAATTTCTCCAAATTATAAGATATACAATAATGGATAATAATAAAAGAGTTTATAGTTTTGTTACTTATTTGCATATTAGAAGGTATGAATTTATAGTAAAATTTAGTTAAACAATTTTTTTTATTGGATAATAATCTAGTTTTGCAGAATTAAGCGATTTGCATAATTTAAAGACTAAGTTATTAGAATGTAGTTCAGTGTTGAAAGGAGTGACCACATCCATTTATGCATGGTTAGAAATTTTAGAAAATTGGGACTAGATCATCAAAGATTCAAATAATCTTTAGTAGTTAAGAAAATCATTATTATTTTATATTTAAAATAATTATATTGCCAAATTGCATGGTATTCTATGTAATGAAAGCTCAAAGGTTGTCCTTCTCAGATATGATGAGTCAATAAGTGCAGAGTATTTATAGATTAAACCTTTTTAAATTGGAGTTCTATGGAATTATAAGGATTACTAAGTTTATTAAATATTTTTAGGAATGAGAAAGACTTGGAATTAAGTAACATTATTGAAATAAGTTAGACTATAATCAACATTATCAATGAAATAGCTGATGAAACTAGAGATATTATCAAACAATGCTCTGATAGCCTAGAAATAATTGTTTGACTTCATCAATATATTTTATGAAAAAAAAGTAGCTATCACTGTACAACTTGATGGATAGGAATAAACATAGGAAGAAAGCTTAAAATCTAACTATCGCATAAATCAATATAAATTAACTAGCTTCTAGAATTCTACAAGGAGAATATCAGATTCTTCAGACTAAATCAAAAAGAAGAATTTACTAGTCCAAATCCCCTTAAGTATTCAACTTGGTTTTTAAAATATCACTATTTTTACAGTTTAATTCAAATAATTCTTGAGCCTTAATGTAAGATGAGTGATTGGAGGGGATGCAATTATATTATTTAATTCTGAAATACCAAAAAATAATAAAATTCATAAAAATCTCCTAACTTTTAAAGTATTTTCTTGTTTGAAGTAGGACATTATTTTTCGTAAATTTTTAATTTTTGAATTCTAATCTCTAGTATTTATTGATCAGAATAAACTCATGTTTCTTTGGGTCTTTTTATTCTTTTAATGAGACAAGATTTAATTCTGAAACATCAAATATTAAGAGAGATGTTTTAAGGTCGACTATCTCAATAAGTAGAAGTTATTATCAGTTAAAGACAAGGCCTAGCCTTTCAAAACATCAAAAATAAAGGTAGTAAATCATTTGATACAATTTTTATGCACGAATTTTAAAAAATTCGAGAAAGGATAATTTGAAGAAATCAAAATTATTCAGAATCAAACAACATTATTAGAATAAATGATTTAGCACTATATTGATTAATATAATTAAGGTAATTTATTTGCAACATATTATGTCTTGCCTTATAGATAATTTATGTAGTTGCTAGTTTGATGGTTAAACAAAGCAAAACTATAAAATAGAAATTTCATAGAGTTGTGGTATAACTAAATCAAAAACTTATGGCTAAAATAACATATTATCTCAACTCAAGTAAAGTTAGCAAACCTGCAAGAATGTGATCAAAGAAATGTAGAGATTAGAATAAGTAGTTTAAAGAATAAACAGAGATTTGTTTTCAAAGAAATCTAGTTCTATTAAAATAAAATCCAGTACTATTTATTTTATCCAAGCTGGTAGATGAAAATTTTTAGCTATTATTATAATACTTGTTGTTTACTTTTTAGTTAGATAATATCATAATATTTTATAAAAAAAAAGAAATCTATGTAGTTTTTCCATAAACTAGCAGTAGTTATGTTGCTTGTCTCTAATCAATCGGAAATATGAAACATCAAAATTGAAAGAGTACTCTATTGTTGTGAATTAATTTATAATTATTTTAGGAAGACAAGTTCTTTTAGCAGTAAAATCTTTTAGAATAAATCATTAGAGAAGCAGCTTTTGCACAGTCCTCACATAACAAATAGAGCCTTTGATACGGAAAATGTTAGCCCTTAAATTTTTTAACTGAAAAATGAAATAGATATAAATGATGATAAAAATATAAATAACCAAGAAGCTAGAAATTTGTGAAGTACTTTCGCTGAATTACATATTGTTTTGCAAATATCTAAAATTAATTTGTTGGCTCAAAGTGGTTGCTATTCAATTTAACAATGAAAAAAATACTTCAATTTATTTTAATTATTACTGAGTGTTAAATTTTTACAAAATAGATAAACACATCATTGACTATTTTGGTTTTAATTTCTAGAGTTAGATTCATTTTCTTGTTTTTATAAGAATGAAACAAAACATGATATTTAAATTCCTAATATACTATTCGTAAGCTACTAATTTGTTTTATCTATATGTATATGTGATTAATTTAATTAATCTCTATTTACATGGATACTTTTTCGTTTGATAACACCTTTAGTAATTTAAAGGTTTTATTCAATTTCATCACAATTTTATAATTCTAATTAATAGCTAATCATTCCTAATTTGTCTAAAGTTTGTCGGAGAAATTAGAAGAGAATAAAAGGAAAGTTATTTTTCTGCAGTATAAAAGAATTGCAGTATTAAAGTATTCTGCATTTAAAAATGAAATTTTTTTACATATAAAGTGAGNTAACATTATTGAAATAAGTTAGACTATAATCAACATTATCAATGAAATAGCTGATGAAACTAGAGATATTATCAAACAATGCTCTGATAGCCTAGAAATAATTGTTTGACTTCATCAATATATTTTATGAAAAAAAAGTAGCTATCACTGTACAACTTGATGGATAGGAATAAACATAGGAAGAAAGCTTAAAATCTAACTATCGCATAAATCAATATAAATTAACTAGCTTCTAGAATTCTACAAGGAGAATATCAGATTCTTCAGACTAAATCAAAAAGAAGAATTTACTAGTCCAAATCCCCTTAAGTATTCAACTTGGTTTTTAAAATATCACTATTTTTACAGTTTAATTCAAATAATTCTTGAGCCTTAATGTAAGATGAGTGATTGGAGGGGATGCAATTATATTATTTAATTCTGAAATACCAAAAAATAATAAAATTCATAAAAATCTCCTAACTTTTAAAGTATTTTCTTGTTTGAAGTAGGACATTATTTTTCGTAAATTTTTAATTTTTGAATTCTAATCTCTAGTATTTATTGATCAGAATAAACTCATGTTTCTTTGGGTCTTTTTATTCTTTTAATGAGACAAGATTTAATTCTGAAACATCAAATATTAAGAGAGATGTTTTAAGGTCGACTATCTCAATAAGTAGAAGTTATTATCAGTTAAAGACAAGGCCTAGCCTTTCAAAACATCAAAAATAAAGGTAGTAAATCATTTGATACAATTTTTATGCACGAATTTTAAAAAATTCGAGAAAGGATAATTTGAAGAAATCAAAATTATTCAGAATCAAACAACATTATTAGAATAAATGATTTAGCACTATATTGATTAATATAATTAAGGTAATTTATTTGCAACATATTATGTCTTGCCTTATAGATAATTTATGTAGTTGCTAGTTTGATGGTTAAACAAAGCAAAACTATAAAATAGAAATTTCATAGAGTTGTGGTATAACTAAATCAAAAACTTATGGCTAAAATAACATATTATCTCAACTCAAGTAAAGTTAGCAAACCTGCAAGAATGTGATCAAAGAAATGTAGAGATTAGAATAAGTAGTTTAAAGAATAAACAGAGATTTGTTTTCAAAGAAATCTAGTTCTATTAAAATAAAATCCAGTACTATTTATTTTATCCAAGCTGGTAGATGAAAATTTTTAGCTATTATTATAATACTTGTTGTTTACTTTTTAGTTAGATAATATCATAATATTTTATAAAAAAAAAGAAATCTATGTAGTTTTTCCATAAACTAGCAGTAGTTATGTTGCTTGTCTCTAATCAATCGGAAATATGAAACATCAAAATTGAAAGAGTACTCTATTGTTGTGAATTAATTTATAATTATTTTAGGAAGACAAGTTCTTTTAGCAGTAAAATCTTTTAGAATAAATCATTAGAGAAGCAGCTTTTGCACAGTCCTCACATAACAAATAGAGCCTTTGATACGGAAAATGTTAGCCCTTAAATTTTTTAACTGAAAAATGAAATAGATATAAATGATGATAAAAATATAAATAACCAAGAAGCTAGAAATTTGTGAAGTACTTTCGCTGAATTACATATTGTTTTGCAAATATCTAAAATTAATTTGTTGGCTCAAAGTGGTTGCTATTCAATTTAACAATGAAAAAAATACTTCAATTTATTTTAATTATTACTGAGTGTTAAATTTTTACAAAATAGATAAACACATCATTGACTATTTTGGTTTTAATTTCTAGAGTTAGATTCATTTTCTTGTTTTTATAAGAATGAAACAAAACATGATATTTAAATTCCTAATATACTATTCGTAAGCTACTAATTTGTTTTATCTATATGTATATGTGATTAATTTAATTAATCTCTATTTACATGGATACTTTTTCGTTTGATAACACCTTTAGTAATTTAAAGGTTTTATTCAATTTCATCACAATTTTATAATTCTAATTAATAGCTAATCATTCCTAATTTGTCTAAAGTTTGTCGGAGAAATTAGAAGAGAATAAAAGGAAAGTTATTTTTCTGCAGTATAAAAGAATTGCAGTATTAAAGTATTCTGCATTTAAAAATGAAATTTTTTTACATATAAAGTGAGTATGAATAGCAATAAAAATTAGACTTTATATATTGAATTCAAGTATTTACATTAAAAATTTAAGGAAATACTAATAAAATTTTTCTCTCACCTTAAAATTCCTAAATTTAGAGAAAATATTACCAGTGTTTTTTAACCTAAATAGTCTATCATTTTAGTTTTTGGAATTTCTAAACTTGTTTAGCAATTAGAATTCAATTTAAATTCTTCTATTAATCTAAATTTATCTAAATAGTTATGAAATAGATTGACCTACAATGAGAAGTTTAATATTAATAAAATCTCCAGAATATTTACATGAGACTAATTCATTATATATAGTACTCTAATGTAAATTGATCCTCATATATTCTATAGTATGAGATAATGATTATTAGATTTTTCAATGTATCTATTATAAAGTCAGGGAACATTTATATATCTTATTAGATACCAACTCTTATTGGGTCTGTAAATTTAAAATCATTTAATTTGAAATTATCATCCAAGTTTAAGATCATTTTACAATCTCCGCTTTGAATCTCAAAGCATTTACTTAATAAATAATTAATTAATCAAATAAGAATGAAACAAAAATTAAGTTTACTATTTTATAATAGTTATGTAATAATCTTTCGTGCCTTTCTTTTAATTACTTCAAAAAATGTAATTTTCCTTAATAAATAAATCCTATTTTTATTGTTTGATTCAATTCAGCTCATCTCATATAAGGAATCACATGCTTAATCAATAGCTAATCATTTGTCACAATGATATATATATTAACAATAATATGTAAGAAAAATAAACAGCAAAATAATATAATTATGATTCAATCTACCNTTTACAAAATAGATAAACACATCATTGACTATTTTGGTTTTAATTTCTAGAGTTAGATTCATTTTCTTGTTTTTATAAGAATGAAACAAAACATGATATTTAAATTCCTAATATACTATTCGTAAGCTACTAATTTGTTTTATCTATATGTATATGTGATTAATTTAATTAATCTCTATTTACATGGATACTTTTTCGTTTGATAACACCTTTAGTAATTTAAAGGTTTTATTCAATTTCATCACAATTTTATAATTCTAATTAATAGCTAATCATTCCTAATTTGTCTAAAGTTTGTCGGAGAAATTAGAAGAGAATAAAAGGAAAGTTATTTTTCTGCAGTATAAAAGAATTGCAGTATTAAAGTATTCTGCATTTAAAAATGAAATTTTTTTACATATAAAGTGAGTATGAATAGCAATAAAAATTAGACTTTATATATTGAATTCAAGTATTTACATTAAAAATTTAAGGAAATACTAATAAAATTTTTCTCTCACCTTAAAATTCCTAAATTTAGAGAAAATATTACCAGTGTTTTTTAACCTAAATAGTCTATCATTTTAGTTTTTGGAATTTCTAAACTTGTTTAGCAATTAGAATTCAATTTAAATTCTTCTATTAATCTAAATTTATCTAAATAGTTATGAAATAGATTGACCTACAATGAGAAGTTTAATATTAATAAAATCTCCAGAATATTTACATGAGACTAATTCATTATATATAGTACTCTAATGTAAATTGATCCTCATATATTCTATAGTATGAGATAATGATTATTAGATTTTTCAATGTATCTATTATAAAGTCAGGGAACATTTATATATCTTATTAGATACCAACTCTTATTGGGTCTGTAAATTTAAAATCATTTAATTTGAAATTATCATCCAAGTTTAAGATCATTTTACAATCTCCGCTTTGAATCTCAAAGCATTTACTTAATAAATAATTAATTAATCAAATAAGAATGAAACAAAAATTAAGTTTACTATTTTATAATAGTTATGTAATAATCTTTCGTGCCTTTCTTTTAATTACTTCAAAAAATGTAATTTTCCTTAATAAATAAATCCTATTTTTATTGTTTGATTCAATTCAGCTCATCTCATATAAGGAATCACATGCTTAATCAATAGCTAATCATTTGTCACAATGATATATATATTAACAATAATATGTAAGAAAAATAAACAGCAAAATAATATAATTATGATTCAATCTACCATTTTCAAAGAAGGACTCAATATGTTGACAAACAATAGTTAATGAATACGATTCTCTAATACTAAATCTTGTAGGATTGAAAAAATAATTATTTAGTCTTGTAAAGAATGGGCCCTAAATTAACCCTAATTGTACTATCATAAATATTTTGTTATATAACCACCTAATATGACAATTTTCCTTTAGAATATAGACTTATAACTAAGGATTAAACACTCTTTTTTTTTATCAATGAACTTTTAATTAAATGTTTGAATTATTTTATTTTTAAACTACACTTTCATTCAAAAGTATGATGGATCTTTGGGTAATTATTAAGAAAAATGATTTCTCTAATTTTTATCGTTTGCAGACTTACTCAATACACCATTCTTGAGAAATTTCATTCATTTATTAATTTTTTGTAATATTGGAGCAAATTTTTAAACAGTATCAGTAATTAGTCAGATAATAAAGGTCCAAATAAAAAGGATGAGCAAAAAGATGACTTTTATTGAACAGATTCTTCAATAATTTAACAATAATTATCCATTTCCTCTAACTTCAAATTTATTATTGATTTTAATATTTTAATCTCATTTATTAAATATAAATATATTATTTAAATAATGGCCTCAAAACTCTTAGGGTAAACTTTTGGACTTTTGCACTCTTAAAATAAACTATAGTCTAATAAAGGATTCAAAACTGTTAGTGGCATTCATTTTTAGTCGTAAATTTATATTGTATCTCTAGCTTGTAAATAGCTTTTTAAGATTTTATTCAGAAATTACTATTGATTGATATTCAGGAATGTCTGTTTAATTTATTAAAGGGGTATCACAGCCTACAATTGATAATTAAACAAATTAATTGCATTCTTACAATTTTACATTTTTGACTAAGACTAAATAATTAATGTTTGATTATGTCTAAAAAAGGCTTGTTTAAAGAATTCAAATTCTATTTAGCAATACTCAAAATTTAGTATTCTTAGCAAATGTGCTTGTTTCAAAATAATAATTAAAATTACTGTATTCAATAAATATTCATTTTCAGGTAATTTTTCACCAAATATTAAAAATTCATTCCTATAATTCTTTTTTAATTATAGTATTTATTTAAAACTGATATTTTTTATTATTTGATAAATAATAATGATTATTTTTATGGCATTAGTGCAAATAACTTTTTAAAATGTGATCTATAATTTTGATGCGAATTTGGATTAATTGGATGGTACTTTTGTAAAGTTATCAATTAGGATGGTCAAATGTGTTGAGTTTCCAGTCATGTGGTGTTTCATATTACTTTTTGGGATCCTATCTTGATACGTCTGTAATTAGTAGATTGATTTTAAATCTAGAGTCTCATTATGTAATTAAGATTGAGGGTTATTTTCTTCGGTAATGATATTTATTAATTTCAAAGTATTAATGAAAATGATGAATTTTCATTCTTTCTTGATGGTTATTAGTTAGAATAACTATTGATTCACGATGAAGAGGCAAGTAGCGATTGTGGGTCGATATGGATATCAAATATTTCAATTATTCATTAGCATAACAGAAGAACAGGCTTAATTTAAATAGGCTAACCGTAAGGAGGAATTATTAAACTTTAAATAAGCATACTGAATTGTTAGGAAGAATGTATTGGATGTATTTGGAATTACCCAATTAATTGTGCAAAATGGATGCTGCACTAATATTCATTTAATTATAAATAGATGACTTCTTCTGAGGGATGGGATGACATTCTTAATTATCATTAGGATTCTTCTAGATGTGATGGATGCTAATATTTAAAGTTTAAAGATATTTCTTACTCAACTTAAATACCATTTCATTAAGATATATTAATCAGGTTTTATAAAGGATCATTAAATTCTCTTATATTAAACTATATGTATGAGAAAGTATGGATTTTGGGGGGTGAATAGGTAGTTGAAATTTTTATAGTAAATTACCCAAACGAGATTTTGAATTTGAATATTAAATCAGAAGATATTAACGAAGAAAGCTGGATAAGAGATTTTGAAATATATTACACAATGCCTGAACTTTAAATTTTAGGTCTAAATTAAGGCTGCTAAGACTTGATAGGAGATCAATGTCTAAATTGTTAAGATGGTTGGATTTTAGATGAATTTCAATAAAGTTGCAGTCCTATCTGTGGGGACATGATAATCAAAGGGTATGAAGAATGCGATGATGGAAATTTGATATCTTATGATGGTTGTTTTTAATGCAAACATTAATGTATTGATTCTTGCAAAACTTGCATTTTAGGAATTTGTAAACAATGTCTAGAGGGTTTTGTTCTTAATTCAAATAATTATTGTGATCCGTAATGTGGAGATGGCATTGTGATTCCTTATTCAATTGAATAATGTGACATTAAAGATGATGAAGATTAGAGTGGTTGTAAAGATTGCAAATATACTAATTGTAAACAAAGCTTTTTATCTAATTGTTTAGAATGTGAAGAAGGGTTTATATTTTTAGTTGATTAATGCTACCCTTATTGTGATAATATAAATTTTCTTGAATAACTTGAAAATTGTGAGGATGGAGATTTGCAATCTTTTCAGGATTGCATAGAAGATGGTATTATATATCATCAAAGAAAATGTAGGCTAGAATGTGGATAGGGATATGAATTAATTGATAATAGTTGTCATTCAGTTTGTGGAGATAAGATTGTCACTACAGAAGAAGAATGTGATGATGGCAATGCAATTATATTTGATGGTTGTTTTGATTGTATTTATTCTTGTCCAGAAAATTGTAGTAATTGTTATCAAGGTATTTGTTTAGAGTGTCAAAGTCACTATTATCTGCATAGTTAAAATTTATGTAAAATATAGGTAATTTGTGGAGATGGATTGGTTTAAGAATAAGAGGAATGTGATGATGGTAATGATTAAGTTGGTGATGGTTGTTTGAAATGTGAAATCGAATAAAATTGGGTTTGTAACTCAATAATGAAAGATTCTTATAGCTAATGTATATTTGTAAAAGCTCCTCACTTAATAATTAATTACCTTAATATGACTCAAAATAAATAGTACATAAGTATAAGATTTAATTAGTAGGTTAAAGTCAATACTACTAAACTTCTATCTAATACTATTTCATATAAATTAATTAATATAGACAATTAACATTGGAGAAGCAGCCTTTAAATTAAATAAGATGTAGGCTCATATGTGACATTTGGAGAGTATGTTTTAGAGATAGAAGTGCTTTAACTACTTGATTTTAGACCTACGTTGCAAATCTAATTAAATCAATCAGTTTTTAATATTGATAATGCATTCTTAGAAGATTATACAAAATTTCTAACTTTAGATTATCCAAAATATCTAAATGAATAGCAAATGGATTATTCATAAAAATTGAAAAATACTAATATTTACCTTATTTACACATTGTCAGCAATTACTGCACTAAGTTTATTATTTGGTACTGGAGATCTTTTTGTTGAAGTTCTGACAATTTTATAATATTAATAATACTTAAGATACATAAATCTCAAATATCCTTTAAATCTCGAAATATATTTCTCTTTTAATGATTTATTATCAATTGATCCATTACTAGAATTTATTCATTTTGAGTTTATCTTTAATTTTATTAATATTTAAACCGACTAAGAATATTCAGAAGGAAAAATAATTAAATAAAACTCTAATTTGATAATTAATCTTTCATCTCAAATACTTTAATGCGTTATTTTTTTACTTCTTATGTTAATTTCAAAATGGATTAAAAAAGTGATTTACAATTGGATATTTTGCTCTCGATACTTTGAATGTATGTCATCCTTATCTAAATTTATGAGCCCAACTATTGTGGTTAAGTTTAGTTAACTATTATATGATAATTGCTTGAATGTTATTGAGTTGGAACATTATATATCCTTTTCAGGATTATAAAAAGCTTTCTTACTTAATGGTTGGGATATGATATTTAAAATTTTATTGTATACTAGAAACATTTAAATTAATAATTATTTAGACATTAGCCAGATAGTAATAGCAATTATAATACTAATTTTATATTTTGTAGTAATATTGAATAATTTTCCAGGTAGAGTATTGAAATTATAACCCTAAAAACAGAAAACTTTTGAAATTCTTAATTTTGTGAGGTAATTCCTATTTTTATTATTTTTGATATATGTATAAAGTTAACAGCTGCTTTAATTAGGATTGCTTCTTTTGACAAATATTTTTGAGATCAACGTAATTTTTAATTATCGTTCTATTCTCAGTAAATATAATTATATTGTATAAATGACAGTTGAGATATCAGTATTGATATTTATGCTTAGTTCATTCTTTTACATTGAAGAGTTTAGTTAATATATTAATGAAGCGTAAAAGATATTATTAGGATGGTTCTAGGCAATCCTATTATCCTCAGGAATTGTAATTGAATTGGTGATGATTATATACAAGTCTAACATTATAATAAGATAAAAATGCACAAAAAAATAATTGATTAAATAGTAACCAATAACTAAAAATCTTGTAGACGAATAAATGGTCTGGCAGAATAAAAAAATTTTAATCAAATTTGATCAGCCTTGATGATTAGTCATTATAATCTTAAATATATATATACTTATTTTACATAAAATTTTCCTTAATATTTAATTTGATTTCAATTACTTTAAATTATCAATTGGTAAATTATTGTATTACTCCAACCATCTGTTTAAGTATAACAAAATAATAATTAAATGCTTGATTTGAATAATTAGCCCTAGTTCTTATATTTACTTTAAATTGATACAAAGAGCTTTAAGTCTTCATAAATTTATAAAATAATATAAACTATTTAAATCGAGCAAATATTCTAAGCAAAACCATTAAGGGTTTATATCTCAATACTTGTTTTCATCTCCATGATAGGCAGATGTTATTATTGATTTAAAAATTTTAGGAAGAAGATTGTGGCTTCGATTTCATCAAAATACCATTTTTTTATTAAAATCAATTAAATAATGATTCGTAACAGTTATTTTTTGTAATAAGGTCATGCATACTAAGTTTTGGAAAGTTTCCAAAAATGAAATATCAATATCTGAAGAACTAATATCTGAAGAACTTTTAGAAAATGATGCCTGAAAATGCTCAACAGTCTATTTATTAAATATAATAACTGATAAGTTAGTGAATTTTAGAATTAAATTTCGCTAATTAAAAGTAATGTGAATTTAGGAAACATATTAATAATATAATATGTGTTCAAAAACATAAATCAGAAATAGATTTATTTGACCTTTAAGCAAAATTAAATCTTTTCATCAACAAAGATAGCTTGTATAAAGCGTATGTAATATTCTCCTGCATAATGCATTACTTTAGAACACATTTGTATTCATAAATTGGATTAAATAATCAGTTGCTAATAAAGGGTATAAAATATACTTAATAAATGATCAACAACTTCTTTTGGTAACTATGGGTACAGATATTGATGATATTTTAGTATTTGAATATAGGGAAAAGTTTTTAAATAAAATACTAATGTAAAAAGATGATATGAATTTTCAAACGTACATAAGGCTAGAAAAAAATATTTTAATGCTAATCTATTTATTTCGATAATTAATAGATGGTAAACTAAAGGTTTATCAATAATTGAATTATTAATTAAAATCGGTTTTTGGGAATATGAACAAAAATGGAGGGTATTTAGTGTTTTGGGATTAGAAGTAAGAAAGCATTATACTTATGAATTAATTTTATATAAAAATTATTTCTGATTTTATTAAAAATAATAAATATTTAAATGAATTAAATTCATCATATTTAATGTTAATTAGCAATAATAAATAGAGTTATTTGGTGATAACTAAAGTATAAAATTAATAACAATCGATTGATAAATGATATTCTATCAATTTTATTATTTGAATCATTATGATATATGATCTCTCAATTTAAACAATAGTAATGAGAGTGGTGGAACCGATAAAGTTGGTACCTCTTAATTTATAGAATGGTATTATAGAAATATATAGGTAATTAAAAATTAAGAAAACATAGATTTCTCGAGGATTTTAATCTGCAAGAATTATTACCGTTGATATATATTTATATAATAAAGTTGAAGAATTTACAGGTAATTCTATTCTAATCAACAATAATGAACTAAAAATCTAAACTGAATGATGAGAATGTAATAATAAAATTAATCTAGATTACAAGAGAATTGTTTAAAAAGATAGAAGTCTTTGCATTGACAATATTCTATTATTAATAATTAAATGTAAGCTGAAAAGAGTATTTTTATAGCCATTGTACTTTTTCAAAAACATCATAATTTCAAACTTGTGTAAGTGGCTTAATTTTAGCGATAAAATTAAATCCTTCTTAATGCTAAAAATATATTCATAGGTGGCATAATTCAATTATTTTAATTTTTGAAAATTCCAGGATAAATTTCTACTGCTATTTCTACTTTTTTGATAATGATTTACTCCTCTTACACTTAATTCAAAATCCATCTAAGTCGTTTTATCATTTTTATAGCCGCAATTCTACTCAACTTAGGAATATAGGTTTAAATACTTTTTACTTTTAATAAATATTATTGATAATAAATTTCAAATTTCACAGTATTAAACACCTATTTTTAAGAGTAAATTAAGATTTTTTTGATATGACTTAATCAAGAGTTTGAAATAATAGATAAGTATTATCCGCCTTAAATAATTGATTCTGCTCATTATCTCTAATAGATTCGAGGGATTAGATATAACATCCAAACTTATTGCTAAACAAAAACTTACAGTAGTACTTGAAGTGTGGATCGTTAATGTTGAAGACTTATATTTGAGTGTTGTAATTTATCAAGGTACATCTCATATTAAGAGTCATATCAAATCATGTCCTATTTATTAAGTAGAAATTTAATCAATAAAATAGATAATCTACTTCGTGCTCAAAATTATTTGGTAACTAAAATATGAGTCTTAAACCTCCTCAGATACATGAAATTGAAATTAACTCAAAACCATAGGATATCATTCTATAATATAGACAAATTAGTATGAATCGCTCCATGATATCAAAAGCTTTCGCTGGTAATGTTTTTTCTTGTATTATATGGATGCTTTAAAAAGAATTTTATCATTCCCATACCTGTAAGTAACTTTAAAAAACTAGATGTTGTTTTCCTTTTGCAATAATTATTAAATTTTTTAGCTGATACGTAACATCCATTTCAATATCTAAAGTATACAATATTATCACCTTTTAATATTATAAATCAAATATATTAACTCCACGAAATTTTTGATTTAGTTTGAAAAATAGATGAGAATTAAATAAAGATCTTTTTAGGTTTAATTACTTCTAATAAAATTTCATATGAAAATAATTATTATCAATTTTTTAGCTATTGTGGTTCAGGCTCTTACATATCACATTCATTTAAGGAATTAATATCTTATATTTATTCGCAAGAACTAAAAAAGTCTTTTTGAAAATTACTCTTCTGTGACATCATAGAAGGAACTTATTCAGGATTGAAATTGAGATTAACTTAATCATTTTAAAGAATGATATTCTATTCTATTTCGCATAAATTTTTTTTTGAAAATAACAAACCCTTTTGACCTATTAGACTTCGATAATTTTTCAATATTTAATATTAGTCTTTACTTAACAAAGTTTTCTTAATGACTTTTATTTCTTATAATTTTCTTAAAATATTTACTATTTCTAAATTCTTATTAACCTTGTTTTTAGCAAAAATAAATTATTGTTTTTTCTATGCTCTACATCCAAAGATTATCAACCACGCTTCCAAATTAGATTGGCTTAATCTATAATTCTAATTTCTTTTTGTGAGTTATTGATTTGATTACAGATTATTAGTTACGTTTATTTGATGTTTGGTATCTGGAAGTGCTTCTGAGAAATTAAAAAGATCGTTCACCATTTCTAATTTCATAAAGTTTTCAATAATAGGCTTTAGAATAATGGCTACAATCATAATTAAAATTTAAAATATTCCACCTAGTTTTCCTAAAATTGTTTGTAATTTAACATAAGTTCTAATGTTGTTTGTTTATTTATAATCTAGCATAATATAATGAACGATTAAATATTGATTATTATAAAATTCAGATATCTCTCTCCATTCACTTTATTAAATGTTTTATTAATCCTAAATTTATTCCCAAATTAATCCTTCATCTGTAAAAGTTTAAACGATTTTATATCTTTAAGAAATAGTCTTAGAAGTGCTTAAAGAAAAGCTTGTAAATTCATTGGTTATGATTTCTTGAAAAGGTTATCCTGGTCGATCAAGTTTGGTCAGGTAATCACTTTTATATATATTATAATGTCCTGATTCTAAGATATTTTCTATTTCCTTTTATGATGCGCAAGTCTAAGACAAACTTGTATTATGACAAGCAGAAAACTAAATAAATATGTATCTGAATGCACGGGATGTAACTTAGCCCTACAATTTCTAAGAAGTTAACTATTTTATTTACTAACGGATTCCCTTATAGATATTTCCTATTTATGCATTAGATCCCTCCCATTCTAATAATTGAAAAGTATTCCGATTACATTTCAGTTGTAAAATGTGACATATTACATGGTTCTATTGGTAATTATACGCATCTTATAATTGCAGTAATTTTTACTTTAAATTCACAGATATTTTTCCTGAATCTTTATTTATCTCCCTTAATCTCTCACATTAACTAATATTAAGGTTGAAATATCGATCAATTCCTATTATGGGCTCTGAAAATCGATTTACTATTGATATGGCCAATGTGAAGTTATCATTATATAGTAGAAATGGCTAATTAAAATATATTTTTCTACTTCGGTATCAGAAATTGATATTTCTGTTTGATAAATTGCTGGTTTGGTTTGAGAAATCATCGTTACAACTTCTGTGAGAAAAAAATAAAATCCTAAGGAACAAATCATTAATGATGTTAGAAGACCTAGCGCAGAAGGATACTTGCTTCGATTTAGTATAGTAAAACTAGGTTATTGCCCGAAAATGTCTAAATGATATAGAAATTCATTTTTGAGTTTCTAAAATAGACTGGTTCTGCAATCAGATTGGCTTTACATTTAAAAATATAATTAAAATCATCCCTTACTAGAAAGAGAGGTAAAATAGCTAATTTAAACTTTCTGGATTGAATAAAGATTGATCAATTTTCAAAAATTTAGATTCTTTAGGGAAGATATTGATTTTATTATCACTCAGGAATCATTTATAAGGTTGTATAATTAAAAAAAATACAATATATCAAATCTTAAATAGATCGTGAATTTATAATTATATATAGCTATAAATGCAAATTATCATCATCATTTCTCCTTTTCAATGTTTGGAGTGTGATTATTGAAGACTAAGCATTTAATAATTATACATGAATGGAATAAATATATTAAGTTTAACAAATTTAATAAATCAATTTAATTTTAACAGATAGATAAATTTTCAAATTCAGATTATTTATATTCTCTGTGAGATTAATGAGTTTCTTTCTGCCTTACCTAGTAGTAGAAGAGAATTAGAGTTATTTAAATTGAAAGTCCAATCAAAAATGATGAGCAGTCAACTTTTAACTATATTACTAAGCTGAGAAGCAAATTTATTCTCAACAAATAGTCTCAAGCAGTTTGTCTTTTTAAATTCAGATATTTTCAACATTTATAAAATGGCCAAGACAAATTTGGTATATTTTTGAAGCGAATAGCAATTCAAGTTTATATATATTTAAAAATTTGTAATTGGTTTCCACTTTTTAATAAAACGGATTTGTTCTCTAAATTTATGATAATACCAACTTAATCATCAAATATATTAATTGTTATAATTGAATATGGAAATACATTATTTTCTCATATGTTAAATAGAGTCACTTCATAAAAAAAGATATATTCTGAAATCAGTTTTGAGTGAGCAAATATAATTTAGAGAATATAATTATATGTTCATTTTAGGGTTAATATTAGATCCTGATAATTGTAAATCTGTTGTTCTATGCTGCTTAGAATCAAAGAGATTTTTTAGTACTCCATCTCAATATTAATGAAGATTTACAATAAATTGTTGGTCACCATAGTTATTCAGATTGAATATGAATGAAAAAATTTATTTCCAGCTTTTGAAAGATGGTTTTGTGATGATATTCCATAATTAAGGAAATATCAACTTATTTTAACTTAATATATTTGTAAACAAGGTCCTGTATTGGCATTTATTAACTTGTCTATAATATTGTTTAGATAATATCAATTATCTGCATCTGATATACTAAATTAGTAAATAATAAATTCATTTTTGATTATAATAAAGCAATCTATGAAAAAGTAATTTATAAATCTCACATCTCATAATAAAGAGCGATGTACTTGTTGTCTATTTACCTAAAATTTTTGTTTAGCATTGATTGAATCAAACTGAGATTATCTTTACGAGATATATAATTGAAATAATTTGAAATTATTCATATTTTTAAATCCTCTTAATTTAATATGGATAAATTGCCTATGTTGCAAGACATTAGACTCGAAGAATTCACATAATAAAAATCCTATTGCTTATCTATTTTATTGTAAATTGAATAATTATATAACATAATAATTTTAGTTATCATAATTATTGAAGGAATTGCCTTATAAGTATCAAGTAAATGATTTGATGAATCTGATGATGAGAAAATTATAAAATCATTTTATTTAACTTATATATCATCAAGGATACTCTTTAACGAAAACGATAATTCAGCAAATACTAAAAATAATTATTTTTTATTTATATTGTTATGCTATATAGAGCCAGATTGCCCATCTTTTCGATTCAATAGTACATGTTAATTTACTATCGTCAAACTAATATAATTTACTTATGATATTTAATCTACATCCACTTCTTATTAATTATTAATACGATAGTATACATTGAAGTTGAGATTACATACTCTCTTTATTCTCTTTAAGTGATTGAATCAGTTTTATTTTAATCATCTTATTCTCAAAGTTCAATAACATCTAAAATTTTTCTAGCAGATGTTAATTTGAGCAATCTCCTAAAACCTATATGTCTTATGAAAATTAAAATTTTTTCTTCATTCAATATTAAGTTTTATTAACTTAAATTTATCAGAAGCTATAGATTATGAATCTGATATTGCTATCTCTATTTTTCCAACTCCAATCTAATTTACCAAAGGTTATTAAGTCAGCATAAATTGGATACGTGTTAAATTGTAAGTAGACAATCTTTTTAATTCGTTTGAATACTTTAAAGGCCTTTGAAATCCTAACCTAAATTCCATATAACTTATTAATAACAGATATCTCTTTTGATTTGGGTACAAATGTCAAGAGTGATTTGTATCGAAAAATATTGAAATTTAACAAACTTGTCTATAGAACATTTATTCATTAATCAGTTAATAGTAGTAAATACTATTCGATTATATACTTTTTTAAAAACAATGATTGGGTTCTTAATTGTTATCGAGTGCTTCTAATAAAATTCTCAGTTTTTGGTCTGTAATCTTTCTAACCACTTCTCAATAATATTGTTCCAATTGTTCATAATTTATTGGCAAATTTTCATTTTAATATGCTCAAAAAAATTTTCTAAGTTCTTTCATTTATATCGAATAACAATCTATGCTAATTAAACATTTTTCTTATAATTAAATGTAATACATCATATATTTCTTATCATTTGTTATCGATAATCTCGAACTCAAATGTACAAAAATTACCTTCAGTTGTTATTGAAGATTCTTGTGTCGCAACTCAAATTATATAATTGATTATAAAAAGATATGTCTTAGAAAGGTTCATTTTTACTAGTAACTCACTGTACTTACATTAATTAAATAGTTGATATATGAGAAATATTATTAGTTGTATAGATATAATGTAACAATGTATGGGAAATAAAAGGAAATAAAAAGAATTAAAGATTATATAATATTAAATAAATTC